ATAGAAATTACTTTAGAATATCAAATACACCTATTTATCAAGTTTATAATAATTAAAATTTAATTAATCATGTGCTAATGGCTTTCTCGTTTTACCCAACTTCATCTTCATCACTGATGCAGGGGAGGTGCCATTTTGGTAGAGCAAGATCAAAGATATGATCAAATTTACGCTTATTTTGTACAATAATAACAGACACTTATCTGTAACCACAACTTCATCAGTTACATCTGAAACTGAGTAAATATCCGATTAATTCATTCTTCATTCGCACAAACAGAAAACAGAGAAAACCATCTGTATTTCACCAATTACATCTGCAACTGCAAGTATGCAAAATGCTACACTGGTGGTAATCCACTAATCCCCTCATCAACAGCTTGAAATGCACCCCAAAATTGGACACTAATTATGAAATTAATTCAATTCACAGGTATAATAAGTACTGTAATATCTCTCTGTTCAATGCACAGCTGTTACTAGCTATACTAGGCTGTAGCCGTTAATGTACTACCCATCCAACCATCAGCGGCGGCGCCGCCGCCGCCGGCGATCACCACCACCACCAGAGCGGCCGGACCTTGACCATGCACCCCCTGTTCGCCGGCGCCGCCGCCAGCTTGTTCACCGTCACCTCGCACCTCGCCTTCACGTCCACCGTCCACGTCCGGAGCACCTTCCCGAACCTCAACCTCACCGGCACGATCGCGTCCACAGCCAGGGGCACCGCGCCGGCGGCCTGATCCGCGGCGAGCTGCTTCCTCTGCTCCTCCGTGAGGCTCACGCCTCCTCCGGCCAACGCCGTCGAGAACACCGTCACGTTCCTCGGCGCCTGGTGGAACGCGGGCCACGGGCCGGCGGCGAGCCGCTCGCCGGAGTAGGAGACGGTCACCTCCCCGCCGCCGCGGTAGTCGATGCCGGTCTTCTTGTTGGCGCCGTTGTCCGCGCGCACGGCGGCGTCGATCTGCGGAGTTAACGACGACACGGCGAGGGCGTCGAGGCCGCGGATGGAGAGGGAGGCGACGGAGAAGGACGGCGCGAGGGGGCGGAAGACGAGGTAGACGACGCCGACGAAGGCGGCGGCGAGGAGGAGCAGGAGGAGGACCCCGCAGAAGGCGCCGCAGCACGCGTGGCGGAGCCGGCGGCGGCGTGCGGGCCGCGCCGCGAGCTTCTTGTAGCGGCGCGCGCGGTCCGGCGGCGGGACGCGGAGGACCTGGTCCTTGGGGATTTGGATGATGTACGTGCCCGGAGACGGCGGCGGCGCGCCGCGGAAGCTGGGATGCAGCGGCGTGGTCTCCGTGGCGGCGGCGGCGTCGTGTCCCGGCGGAGGGGAGGAGGACGGCGGCGGTGGAGCGGGCATGGGGTGGACGCGGTCGGCCATGGGGGGTGGTTGTGAGGCAAGGTGTTCGACGAAATGAAGAGTGACCGAGTGGCGTGGCGTGCGAGTGGGAGTGGTCGCTTGCTTGCCGGATATATATGCTGCCCGCGTAGCGTAGAACGCGTGAGAAGAGAACAAACAGACAAACACGCGGGAAACGGTCATCTGACGGTATTCTTTTTATTTTTTTTCTTTTATAAAGATAAATCTCACGATATCCTGTTCATACTCTGGTACTATTAAATAATTTCACTATCTTTTTTTCTATTGATAGTTAGTACTCTTTTTTTATGTATGCCACCGTTGCTTTTTCGTATAACGTTTGACTATATTAAAAGTTTTAGTGTAAATATGTAAAATTAGAAGTTAAGATTTCTTTGGTGACAAAACAAATCATAACAAATATTTACATAATTTTTTTAATAATAAGAATGGTCAAACGTCATGTCAAAAATCAACGACATCAGACATTAAAAAAAGAGAGAGAATAGTACTCCCTACGTCCTAAAATATGAGTATTTTTAGGTTGTTTAGAAAATCTTATAAAGGTTAAGTAAAAAGATTTCCTTTCCATTAAAGTAGTGGTAAAATATTAAATTATTTAGATTCTCCTCCCAAGCATTTGATTGGTTGAAAATGCATGAATTTTTATGCATTGGTACATAGTGACGTAAGCGGGATGTAAAAGTTGCCACATCAGATTTGTACTTACGTGAAGAAGGGAGGACAGAAGAAAAAAGAAAAGCGGACTAGATTTGTAGCCAACTACACGACTGGCTTCAATAAACTATGTGACGGAGATGGATGGATTATGTATTATTGATGTAATATATATTACAATTATGTAGTATATGAGTTGGTAGATGATGTTTCAATTTTTGAAGCTAATAGTTGATTATATTATTAAACTTACTGCAAAGGACACATATTTTTAGTTTATTTAGTAAAGAGTAAGCTAAAGGATAAATATTCCCTCTCAGTTGTCTCATTGGTTGATTTTGTGAATTGCTTAGCCCCCCTTCCTAATTACCTAAGTGACTAAAAATACTTAGCTTTCCGTGTATCTGAATTCTGAAGTAGTACCTGGAAATGCTTATATTGTATATGAAATTTAAATAGTAGAAATACTTATATTCTAAAATAAAGAAAGTATATTGTGGTACAAATTTTAAATACTAAAAATGCTTAGGGTCCTTTTAATTTGGAGGAAAAACATAAGAACTTTGGAGGATTTCAACCATATAGAAAAATTTCCTATGAATGCTTTTGAAACAAAATATTAAATCATATCCTATCATATCCTTTTAAATTCCTATGAAATGGATAATCTCTTGGAAATTTTTCTTTGAGTCTATCTCTCTCATCCAATTCCTGTATTTTTCTAGCTGTCCAATCAACGGTTATTTCTATGCTTTTCCTGTGTTTTCGATCACTTGCTTTGCACTTGCATTACTATTAGAATCCAGACTTTTTTTCTATTTCTCCGTTTATTCATTTATGAGATTCAAAGGTGGAGTAGTATTATTTTAAGACAAGGTGCTACTTTATTTACTTATGTCCTGCAGGAGTTGGTGTGATAATTTGATCAAGGAAATGAATAGCGTGGGTTCGATGATGAATGTGAATGAAAGAGTCAAATATTATGGGGGTTTACTACGGAATTAGGTACAAGCTACTCCGTAGATTGTAATCATCTGAAAGAGAACGTTCCGTTCTAGCACTGATTTTTCTCAAGGTGCCTCATACTGTACCTAATTTTTATATGATCCTGTCTGAATGTGCTTGTTATCTTGCACTTCTCTGCGTAAGATGAGATGTTTATCTATTCTAGTATTCTACTATATCCAACTTAAGATATCCGCATATTCGAGGAAGTAATTATTTTTCTTATATGCATTGCTAGTCTAAACAATCATGTGTTGTACATGTGTGAAAACTGAAGCTTTTTGTGTCTGTGAAGAATACTTCCATAGTAATCAATTATTTCCTACTATGTAATATACTAGTAGTTCAAAACTATCCACATGTGTTTGCACAAAACTACATTAAAAAAAACTCGATCTTGGGGAAAGAAAAAATAGTCCCTTGGGGGACGGAGATTAAAACTCCCAACCCCTTGGCATCCTTTGAATTGAAGCTTAAAAAAAATGGTCCATGGGTTGGAGATTAAAACTCATTGTAACATATGAATAGTGCATACTTTCTCAAGTAGTTTAATGTTTAGCACAAACTTCAGCCACACTTTAAAAATTTTGGCAATCTATTTTACACCAGAATAAGTTTATATAATCCAATAAGTTTATAATATTATGAGACAAATCTACGTATATCATTTTGAAAACTAAGCATTTGACAAATTATTGATGTCTAGATTTTTAAAAATGCAACTAAATATGGTCCTAAATGTCAAACATTTTTAATCGGAAGGGATACATACTAATATAATCGTATTGAACAGTGAACCACAACTCTTGCAGTACCGAATAATCTCTGTAAACTCTGTTAAAAAAAAACTTAATCCTAGTTACTAGTGCCTTGAAGGAACAACACTTTAACTTGTGACTGTTGTTTGCTACTGTACGGAGTATAAGTTACAGAATTGTGAGTACACCATCCATATCTTCTGGAACAAGCTTCTCATCTGCCTCCTCGCGCCCAAAACATCCATCCAACCGATATCTCCCTTTTCGGTCGATGATCATTTGCTCCAATATTAACGCATTTCTGAGAATGTATTTTGCTAGCTCCACCTGGCCTGTGTTGCCACAAAATCCAAATATGCACACCATCTTGAGATGATAGTGAGGCTGATCCACGATGTCATCCAAATCCAAAGGGCACCTGTTCAAGCTACAATACATCTGCAAGAAATTTATGTCATCATTAACAAGGAGCAAAGCTAACACGTAATAATTAGGGAAAAGAAGATCAAAGATTCATGATCGAGGAAGAGAAGGAGAAGGATAGCCTGTATATCTTGTCAAAACAAATGCGGGGGATGGAATTCTGAGATTTTGTTAGAAAAAAGAAGCTTTTGCTCTGTTTGGATACGAATATATTCAATCAAGGAAACACATGGCTAATCGGTTTCCAAACATATTATCACCTTGATTCATACTATTTGGTATCTTGTACAGTGCATAAATATGGTGATGTGATGATCAGGGTAAACAGTGATATCGATATAGCAAAAGCTTCTACAGATGTCCCAAATAATTATGATTAAAATTTACAAAGTCCACTGTCAAATGGAAAAAAATGCAGTTGCCAACTAATGCTGAACAATACTACTTTCGCCGGGCCGAACAATATTACTTTGCCAAAGCTATGTTCGATGGTCTGATGATCGTTAAAAAGGATCAATAGTCTGCAGCGAATGTTCCAGTTTCTGGGACTTATGAGTTCATGGATCATGCATAGGGCACATTGGACAAGCAGGTAATTCCTAATTAGATTGACAGTACTGGCTTAGCAGGTTATTCTGATTGGGTTTCCAAACCAATGAAATAACATTAAATAGGAAAAAAGAGGTAATCGGTCAATGAGAATACAAAAGGCGAACTGTAACTGGCTAGGGAAGAAGGCAATAAAAGTAGTGAAGTACAAATTGTGAATTCTAGAATGAAATTGGGGATTCAACTGTTCATCCATTGAGTTGGCCCTAAGGGCTAATATGTTGAGAAGAGTACAACGCAAAAAGACAGAAATACCCCTTAACACATACACACTAATACATATATTCTTAACACCCCCACTCAAATGCAATGTGTATACAATAACATTGCATTTGGAGTGAAAACTAAACAAGAGAACACAAACTAAATATTAGCCTATCTCCAAAGTCTTGATGATATCGTCGAAGTGTGCCAATTCTTGGATGATGGAGAAGAAAAGATGTATCCCCTCCTCAATGAAGTGGACCTTGGAGCCTTCACAAACTGTTCTTCGGCCCTCGATACCTTGAAGCCTTCACGAACCGTTCTTCGGCTCTTCATTGATTCAGAGATGTTGTTGATGATGATGACAATAGACCTTCACAAATTGTTCTTCGGTCCTTTGACTGATGATGAGACATTGATGTTGATGAAGGCCCTTCACAAACTGTTCTTCGGACCTTCACTGATTGATGATGATGATGAGAAGCTCCGATGTGGAGATGATGAAGTGACAATGAAGGCCAGCTCCGACGGGGAGCTGATGATGATGAGGACCAGCTCCGACAGGGAGATGATCCATAGATGGGTTTCTAGCTTTCTGCTGCTTTGCTCACGAAGGACTCTCCCGAAGCCTCATGCGGCTGGGCGACAAGCAGACAACCACAACGGCCATGCTGCCCAGCAATGGAGACGAGCAGCGATGACCTCGGTGCAAGGACGCCCGGCCAAAACTGGAGCCGTTGCGGACGACGGCGGCGGCTTGCCGCCGGCAGCTAGGACACGCTCCGCGACCTGAAGAATGGTGGGGACGAGCGGCGTGGATAAGCGACGCGACGGGCGTGGCAGCGAGAGTGGATGGTGGAGAAGCGGGCGCGGCGCCGCAACGGACGGCGGCTGCGACCGGCGAATGGGAACGCGGTGACGACGACGAGCCGCGGGCTTGCTGCTTGGAGACGAAGACGACGACTGACTGATGGACGAGGATGAACGACGACAACGATGGCTCGCCGGCGATTTGGCAGCTAGGGTTTGGAGAGAGGCTCTGATACCATGTGAATTCTATAATGAAATTGGGGATTAAACTGTTCATCCATTGAGTTGGCCCTAAGGGCTAATATGTTGAGAAGAGTACAACGCAAAAAGACAGAAATACCCCTTAACACATACACACTAATACATATATTCTTAACACAAATGATATAGCTACTTACATCCAAATAAAGATCCTCCAAAAATGGAGCTGCTACGAAAAGATAAGCCAACTGGAGACTGAATTTCTATCGAATGAACCTCTCTCAAAAGTTATTTCCAAAGTTACACTTCAATTGAGTGAACTTGAGAGGCGATTGTGTAAATCCAGACATCTGGAGGGTGACCAGGCCACACATAGGTTCAAACAACAAGATGTGAAACAGAAAATCAAATAGAATTAAATGTATATAGAGAGTACAAGAATAATCAGACCTGAGTTTTGACATTAACTTCAACGTATAACGTTTCAACATGAGGTAATACACTTGGAATTCCAGTTAATATATTTTGGAGGGTTTTCTCATCAAAAAGTCTGATGGTTGATGCTTTGATATTGGAGCATTCATTGAGCGTTACCAATGCCAGGGAACCGTCGTACTCAAATGTTGTGAGATTCGGAGCATGTAACTCCATTCTTTGTAAATGACAACCCTGAATTGACAAACATTGCAGACGGCATAATGGTTCCGACACATGTAAATTATGCAGCTGGTTACATGATTGGATGCTTAACCACTCTAGAACATGGCATTTCGATATTAACTGCTCTAAATGTTGCAACCTAACATTGTCAAGAGCAAGCAGTTTAAGGTTTGCAAATCCGCAGAAATCTAGAGGTGGATTCAAAGTAACACTGTCAAGCCGAAGAGCCTCAAGGTAAGATCCATTATGTTTGTCGAAAATATGACAAGGAAAGTCATAGTTGTTTTCATGTGATTTCCAATCTGGGGAGAAGTCAAGAATGATAACCCTTGCCTTTGATGCAATAGCAAACGCAACCCAGCCATTGACATGGTTAGCATGCTCATTTGACAAACCAAACTTAACAGCAAACTTATTTACCATTGTTCCACAATGTTTTTCCAGAATAGCATCAACCCTTTTAATGAACTTGTTAGCACTTGATATTCTACAGTTCAGATCAGAGCTTGTTCCTTTTCTCTTGGCATTATTTCCAAGGACTGTTTTAATACCAAAGTACAGATTAGGATGGAATGTCCAAGCCTGTCTCCAGTTTGTTGACACAACACTCAACCGAGCGACTTCCTTTAATGTTAATTTTGATATTACCCTTAGTACAATATCCTGACAATGCATTTTGAACAAGCATCAGAATACAGCCTCCTAGTCCTAGCACAAAAGGAGTTGAGAGTTTCATGACTTCATGTCATGATATGACATACCTCGGGAAGAGACTGAAAATTAAGCAGACATGGTCTTGTCCTCTGTAAATTAAGCTGCCCCCGACTTATCTTCTGAAAATTATGTTGTGTTCTTCTCCTCTTACTAATACGTTGTCCGCAAATTATACAATTCCTTTTGGCTGTTGTGCTCTTACTCCTGAAACCAACAATCAGCATGCTCTGCCAGTATGCAATGATACTTCTTTCAGAAGTTTTAAGTAGCACACAGAATTGACTTCTTGAAACTTTTTTTTTAGCAAAATAACACATATGTCAGAGGGTATTTTGCATTATTATTAGTAGTAACAGTACACAAATAAATGAATATAAGCATATAATGTGATGGAATTCTGCCATGTAAGGATGCCTTTCTTTAGATTCTCTATTTATTTATTTTTTGCGGGGGCCTTTGTTTAGATTCCATATCGTATTAAAATCACAAGCAAATAAAGAAAAAGGTGCATGAGTTGGGAGTCACCTTCCATGGATTTTCGAGGAGACAAGAACGTTGTCCTCCATTGTTGGACGTGGAGGCAGTGGATCAGGGACAAGAGAAACCCTGAATCCCTCCACCGCAGGTCCGCAGCCCAATCCAATCAGCAGACTCCTGATCCCAGCAAGGTAGCCATGAAGGGGGATGGAATGATTTATGATTCTGAGACAGGGAGAGGCTATTTAGGGCTGGAGCCGCTCGATCGCGAGGCGCAGCATCAAGGAGTCGACCGGAGGTTAGGGATGAAGGCTCATCTTTTATGGGCCTTACCGGTAGATGGCCGTACGGCCCATATACAGGCCCATAAATCAGCCCATATCGATTTTGACTGCTAGTAGTAGTATTTATTTGAGAGGATATAAGAATCGTATTCTTTTTCTTCAATACGAATCGGTTTCGGATTTGTTGCCGCAAAAATCAAAATAAAACCCGGGTGGAGGAGGAGGGAGAAGATGAAGCAAACGAGAGAGATCGAGCTTGAGGCCGGGTGGAATCGCGAGGGGATGTCATGGCGAAGCGGCGGGCAGAGTCCGAGCTTGAGCTGGTGGAGGCGGAAGCGGAAGCGGAGGCGGAGGCGGAGGCGGAGAAGAATGGGAGGCGAGCAGCAGGTAGTCAGGACGGGGTGAATCGCGCGTTCATCCTCGAGTGCAGCAAACATAGCGATGGATCGATCTACAGCGGCGACGATTTTTGGCACAGATTTTACAAGGTCGCCGATACCCGAGAGAGTAAGTTTTAACTTTTAACTTCTTGCAAACCCTAGCTTTTTCCCCTCTCCACCATGCATCACCTACCATCCTCTCATCTCCTTAATTAGTTCCTTTTCAATTTTAACTTTGCATCATCTACAATCCTCTCATCTGCCCTTAATTAGTTCCCTTTCAATTTAGCTTCACTTGGTAGCACCTCAGATCGATGCTATTTAATTCATGCTCTTTTAACTTCAATTTTATACTATATTGCTGTGTCACCTAATTTGTTCCCCAGGAGGCGGGCAGCCTCTTGGGTGCAATCAAAGAAGAGGTCGCAATCTGGAAGGAAGCAGGAGTCTTTAAAGAATAGAGATGCAATCCCTTTTATTTTGGTTTTGGGAGGGCGCTCCGGCATACTCCATTCAGTTTCGACATCTTCTTGTTGGAATTCTAAACTTGTAAATTTGTACATCGTAAGGAAATTTGGACTGAGGGGTCTTTGGTCAGCACGGCAAAATAATAATAATAATAATAAAATCTAATTTGTTCTTGTGTATGCTCAGTACTATGGAACTGATGTCAAATTAAACCCTTTTTTTCATAACATATCTGTCTAGCTTGATGTCAAATTTAGACCTTTCATAACATAATCTAGTTCTAAGTAACACTAGATATTCCTTAAGTACTACTTCAAAAAACTCTTAAAGGCACCATCTAGGATATGGTATATCTTGCTTTGGGTCCATGATAGTGTGGAGTTTGCTGTTTTAAACCTTATTCGTATCTATTTGTTTCTTTCCTGCTCATTTCAATATTGGGGTTAACAATCTAACTTCTAATCATCCACTGATGTGTATGGCTGTTCAGCTCGTATGGAGGCAATGATGCTGTCAAACCCAACCAATTGCCGGCCACACATGTGGGCTTGCAAGGCGCACAGTGTGCAATTCATGATGCAGATATTCTCGCTCAAGCTATCCAATATCACTGCTGCTGTTGATGGCCCAGTTCACTTGTATGGATACTTTGCTGTCCGGGATCATTTGGACCCGCTACGCAACTACATCTTCAACCGCACCAGGGATGACCCTTTCATCATGGGGCAAGACAATGGCGTTGATTCGGATAATTCATTGATACCAATGTCAGGCCCCAAGAGAGGCATTGGAAACCAAGTTCGTGTGCTCATCGAGTTCGACATGAAGATCAAGAACGGAGAGACACAAGACGATGATTTTCAGCTCATCGATGGTGCCATTATCTGCAGCGAATTCGTGCTTCCCGATAGAGTGTTTACGCAACGGATTGAGGGTGATTGTGGTGCGGTCGACATTAGTCGAGCCCTTTTTCACGAAGCAGTGGAGGCCACAATACAAGTTAGCATATCACAAGTGCATGTCAATGGCTTGAGCTTATCTTTATATTCTTATACCAGTCGAATCCCTGAAAAGATTCGGCTCTTTGATGGTGTCATTTCCAAGCCATGTGACCTGAATAGGGTAGTTGCTGTGGTGGAGAATACACCTTTGTTTTTAATCTTCAGGGCTGTTCATAGGGATGGCTCGGATTATGATATCCCTAAATACTGTCCATTGGTCTTCAAGGTTGATCAGGGGGATGGCTCGTATCGTGTCTCTGAATATTGTCCATTCAAAGCTAGAAGACATGGATATGACATGAAAGAGCTTAAACTTGGTGGCGCCCGTGTACTGTTGAAGGTGTCTTGGTCAACTTTGAAGTGATTTTGAATATTCCTGGGGTATACATAATCTATGCTAAGCAGAAATAGCGATATTTCTGTGTATTGACTAGTAGGCAAATGTTTGGGCCTTATTTTGAGTACATATTTAAGTTTTTTATTTGTTGTAGAAGTTCGACAGGTGAAGGATGCCACACTCTTATCTGTTCTTATTTATTGCATATTAATGCAGATTAAATTTGGTATTGCTACCTGAATTTACCAAATGTTTTGGATGCAACTCTTGTGGAATTCTAATGTTTAACTTACACAATATACTCTTGCAAGAGTGCCGAAGAGAAAAGGGATCATCCATTAATTTGTTCCGTCATTGTGTCTGCGTGTGAAATAGTGATGCTTATGTTAGGTAATACTGATCTGCTTCTGGGGCGCGTTTTGTTGGGAAAATTGAAGATATGCTACTCCCCTGGAATCATTTTCAGGACGTCACTCCTTCAGCTTGACTTTGCTAAAATGGATTGTTTGCATGATAATAAATAATAGATGAATCTTCGGTGTAGCATCGCATTGATGAATAAAACTTTTTTTTGCCATCTGTTTGTAATGATATTTTTTTCCTCTTTGTATTTTGGTCGGCCAAGTGTCCGAACAGTTTGGCATCTTGTAACTAAACAAGTTCTACTCCTTAATACAAAGACGTGTGAACCTTTCGCATGTTACCTAAAACAAAAATGAGTCCACCAACAACATTACAAAAATGAGACCACCAACAGCATTACAGCAAGCAGATAATGAGCATGAGGGGGTGTAGAAAAGAAAAAAAAAGAATTTATGAAAGCATCGCTTGATTACTGAATTATTGCCAGGACAACCGTTGAAGAAGCAAACCGCAGAAGCTGCAACTCCAGTCCAGCGGTTTACTAACAGGCAACAGACATCCAATCATCTTATGTTTACTGAAATAGTAGTAAAGTGGTGAGGGATTGCCAATGCCAATCTGCCAGACAATAAAAACTGACAGGGACAGAGACTGGAGTTACTAAGTGTTCAGCTCAGTTTACTGAACCAGCTATCTAAGAGATTAAGCAAGGCTAAGTCAGAGAGGAACTGTGTAATGAATGAGATAGCGCTATCTAATCAGTTTACTGTCTGCTGCTGCTGCTGCTGCTAGGCCAAGACGAGGAGGGGGTTGTGTCTCCTTGCTTAATGAGCTCCAAGTTGATCTTTTGGGCCAAGTTGAGTCTCATGGCTGCGACGCTCTCAGCACTTACTTGATCCATCACCGACTCAAACCAGCAGGGCGCCGCTTCTTCTGTCCTTGGATGCTTCTTCCACCACCGGCAGATGGCCAGGGCAACTGCCAACAGGTAGACGCCGCAATCGTACCCATTGCTCTGCTGCGGTGTCGGGCCTGAGATGGGCGGTCCCTGCGGTGGCGCCGGGAGCAGTGGCCGGAGCGCGTCGGCGAGGCGGGTTGCCGCCGGCAGATTGGCGCCGTCCATACTGTCGTGGTGGACGAAGCGGCCGGTGATGTTGTCCAGCACAAGAAGACTCCAGTGTGACCCATCGTCGGCCTTGTCCAACCTCTCGCTGTTGTTCACCGGGAATAACACCATCCTGCGAGATGCCAGTAACAGTGCCTGGGCTGTATCAGCGACAGTCTCAGGCTCATAGTCTTGCAAGTTCGCCAGCAGAGAAGCCACGGATGGCGACACCAGGAGAAGGCTCTCATCACCCAACTCGGTTGTCATGTGCGCCATCACAAAGTTAATCACGCCATCTAATAGGAAGTTTGGGGCAGCAAGGCTCGCGACATCGGAGCTGAACAGAGTTGCGTCACGGTGACTCATTACGCTCTTTCCTCTTGTCCTCGTCGTCGTCGTCGTCGGAGACTTATGCAGGGATTGTTTCTTCACAGTGAGGCCGAGGAACTGCAACTGATGTTCCACTGTATCACATTGCTGCTCCTGCAAAGTACAAAACCATGTATTAACAACCTAGTTAGTTTGATAAGTAATCAACCGACATGGAGATTAGTGAACTTTCCTCAGTATTAATCAAAGAGACAGAGATGGACTGCAATACATACACATAACAATAACAGTCTGCCTTTCTTCAAAAACAAAAACAGTCTGCAAGCGATCAAAAAGGACAAGTATTCACATTACTCGCATTGCGCAAAAGAAGATAAATCCAAAATTTTGGCCTCTTACAATTCATTAGGCATGATGAATTTGTAGTTAAGTAAATACAAGTTACAAATACTATGGACTGTAAATTTGGAGTATAAGCACAGTAAGAAATTATGAATTAGGAGAAACATCCATTTCTCCTACACCATTCCATCTCTCTAAACTTCCAATGAAAGTGACAGTGACCTATTCTTGTGCCCTCTCTGTCAAACATGAGCAGACCTTCAAAATGACAAAGAGCAAACAAAAACACTAAGAGAAAGCAATGCGTTGACCTCTCAAATCCTCAGAAATCTCCAAACCGAGAAAACATTAGTCAATGTGAACAAACATTGGATATATGAGATGACTAAAGAAGTTGGGAATGGGGGAAGCAACAGACAATGATACATTTGCATGATTGCACGCACAACGAATTGCACACATGGGAGATTTAAGACCTAGTACAAATCTAAATGTGATCTAGAGTGTTTACGCAACGGATTGAGGGTGATTGTGGTGCGGTCGACATTAGTCGAGCCCTTTTCCACGAAGCAGTGGAGGCCACAATACAAGTTAGCATATCACAAGTGCATGGCAATGGCTTCAGCTTATCTTTATATTCCTATATTGGTCAAATTCCTGAAAAGATTCGGCTCTTTGATGGTGTCATTTCCAAGCCATGTGACCTGAATAGGTTTGTAGTTGCTGTGGTGGAGAATACACCTTTGTTTTTAATCTTCAAGGCTGTTCATAGGGATGGCTCGGATTATGATATCCCTGAATACTGTCCATTGGTCTTCAAGGTTGATCAGGGAGATGGCTCGTATCGTGTCTCTGAAAATTGTCCATTCAAAGCTAGAAGACATGGATATGACATGAAAGAGCTTAAGCTTGGTGGCCCCCGTGTACTGCTGAAGGTGTCTTGGTCAACTTTGAAGTGATTTTGAAAATAATGATATTCCTGTGTGTTGGCTAGTTGTCAAATGTTTGACCCTATGTTCAGTACATATTTAATTTTTTTATTTGTTTAACAGAATAACAGTCGAAGAATGCCACGCTCTCATCTGTAAGATATGGTTCTATAAACAGATGAAAAAAAAATAGATTTATTCATCAATGCGATTCTACACCAAAGATTCATGTATTTTTTAGTATCATGCAAACAATCCATTTTAGCAAAGTCAAGCTAAAGGAGTGATTTCCTGAAAAAGGTTCCTGGGGAGTAGCGTATCTTCAATTTTCCCAACAAAACACGCCTCAGATCCAGATCGGTATACCCAACATAAACATCATGCATGTAATGTAATGTAATGAACTATGAATTTTTTTTAACTAAGGAACTGTGATTTTCTTAACGAAACCACAAACAACAAGCAGATAAGCATGAGGAGGTAAATCTATGGAAGCATTACTTGATTACTTAATTACTGACTGGATAACTGTTGAAGGAGCAAACTGCAGAAGCTGCAACTCCAGTCCAGCGGTTTACCATCAGGGGTTGCCAATGCCAGTCTGGCAGACAAGAAAAACTATGCCATAGGCAGCGACAGAAAGATCGTCTTGACTAACTGGATATCACACCGCAACTGCAACTGGTGTTTCATATCAATATCATCTACTCTCATAGCTAACCTATTAGCGCAAAACCGAAACCAAATAAGCATAAACAAAAGAGAAGAAACAAGCAGAAACCATATGGACATCCATTGTTCCTTGGATATTTCTGACATTACGGACTTCCTGAGAAAAGTTTTTTGAAGAAAAACAGCATGATTGCTGCACATTTTGTATTAAGAAGAGGAAAAGTTAAATCCAGACGCCATAGAGCAAGTTGGAACAAAGGGGGGCAAGAAACCTGTTCAGAGAGCTAATACTGGACTATCTATGCTTTACAGATCTCTCTGAGAAATTGGCTGTTTGGCCTTGTTTTAGGCCCTTGTCTCATCATTCAGTGACCTGTAGCATCAATAACCTGCACTTGAATCTCAGAACTATCTGCAGTCTGTGGATCTCCTGATTTTAACAGTTCATTTGGCAGTTCTGAATAATCTTCGTTTCCTGCCAGTAATGCTTCACTTGATTTCTCTTCAATTGACTCATTACGACATGTTGCGTTAGAAGTAGAAGATACCAGTGCTTCATCATTGAGCTGTGCAAATCGTGGATCCGAATCTTCAACTGAACTCCCGTCAATGAAATGTGTCCCAGTCCCAGAATCTGGAGATAATGGTTCACTCAATTCATCTTCAAGTTTAACTGTCAAGGGTTGACTGATACTGGACTTTGAGATGGATTGCACTAGTACTTCCTCCATACGACACTTAAACAATGAGTTAAATTCATCAATGGAGTCTGCTTCAACAATATGTGCCTCAAAATTATTTACCTTGTAAGGGGAACACGATGTTAATTGCTCAATACCTGCATGACATCAACTTCAGTTGAGTTATCATTTCCAGTAGGAAAATTGCAATACATAACTTAGGGTTAAAAAACAGTTTTACCTGCATGTACTGTATCCTTAGCTTCGAAAGTGCTTTGTCTAGGCTTCTGGAAAGGAGATGAACTGATATCATCACTGAAATCAGCATTTTGGTTACTGCTAACCATTCCAGAATTTACTTCTAATACACCCACCTCTGAAATTGCCATGCCTAATATTTTGATTTCTTCGCCTATATGTGCTTCCAGTGAACCAAATAACGTGCTGTTGTTCCTTTCTTGCTTGGCATCACCGTCTGACTGACTATTATGGGATTTATGGGCATCATTTTCACTTATTTCATCTTTCTCCAGTTTGAAGCTATTGTGATGCAGGCTAGTAGAGTGCCTAACATATAAGTTTCCATGCTTTCTATGCCGTCTTGCTGAAAAGTACGAAAGAGGAGTCCAAGTTTCTTGCAATGGACTATCATGGGCCATATTTTGGTTGACTGCAAGATCAAATAGATTTTTCCGTGGAAGGAGACAAGACGGTGCTGAATCAGGAACATGTGGTAACTCGATTATTTCATCTGAGCCATTTGAAGAATCAAATGGGTTCTGCCTTCCAGTGGAAATGGAGGGAACCTGCACACGGAAGCGTGATGCCTCCTCCATTTTCTGTACTGCATCAGCTGCTTGCAAGTCCATTAACCTCTTGTCAAGTTCAAATTTCAGAATGTTCTTTGCTCTTTGCAGATCCATCATACCCTCCAGCTTGCTATTATTGTCCATATCCAAGTAATTTAGATCAATAACATCCTTCCAGTTAGCAAAATCATCTATTTTCCCTTCCAATTGATTTTCATCTGTGCTAGCATCCTCCTCCTCAAGATCATCTTCATCATCATCCGAAGAAGTATTCAAGTTGTCTCTGGAGACCAATGAAGGGTGGCCAGTTTGCAAGTCTATTAATGGGTGCAACTCTTCAAGCATTGGAATAATGTCAGTCATTGATGCATCAGGAGAACTCTCAGTAAGATCAGATTCAGAATCAGAACAAGCATCCTGTGGCTCCTGTCTCATAACAGGTTCCCAACATGAACTCATAAACTCACCTAACTGATATTGATATTGTACTTTATTGTTATCACTTTCAGGATTGATGCTTCCAAGTTCTTGCAGCTCATCATTCTTCTTGCTGTTCTCCCCAACGTCTTCAGTTTCCACAGTTACACCACTGTAGGCAAAACTTGAAGGCGCCACACAAGGAACAGTATCAGTTTCCACTGATGTGATACCTTTTCCTTCACGGTGGGTATCCTGCAAATCATAATCAGAAGTTCCATCCTTCGTATGTATTTCCTCATTTAGAGCAGTATCAACTGTCATGTAGGTGCCATTTTTCTCTTCCCAGTGAGTGTCATGTATATTACCCTCAAAATTTCTTTCCCTGACATATACTTCATTACTGGTAGTTGTTTTATCCAAGTGCTCCTCGACAGCAACAGTCTCAACCTTGTCAATCGAACAGTCAGTAATGGAAATCTTGGATTTAAAGGACAAAGTTTGTTGATTCTCTCCAAGAACAAGAACAGCAGGTTCACCATAACTCAAAAGTGCTCCAAGCAGAAGTGCAGTTAACAGGAAGACTGGAGATGAAGACAGCAAGAAGTTGAATAGAGAAGGGCAAAGCCTGTGTAGAAACAGCAACAAAACGCCAGCAGCTAGTACTATAGGGTAATCACAAGCAAATTGATATCCAATTCTGACAGATGAATACATTAGTCTCTTGATATGCAACACAATGTCATTTGCACCAAAAGCCATATATATCTTCTTGAATTTTACCCTCAGATAAAACGTTGGCCTGGAAATAGGAAAGAGAGAAGCAATTCATCACTATAACATTATGGTGAATATTCAAACAAGTAAAGATTTATACTTGAACAATAGCGGCCGTACAGCTCTTAGCCTCCATGGCAGCTGTAATTGTTGTACTAGTTTGAACCTCTTCCCAATCTTAATAAACTTCAGCCGCGTATCTTACGCCAGCCCGGCGAAAAAAAAAAAGATTTATACTTGAAACACAAGTTTAATAATGTGCAATACAATCAAACTGCTCAAATAAGGTGACATTCCAGCTTCCTTAGTTAGAGATCTATAGAAATTGCATGTTCAAAAAAAAAAATCATCTGCAATGGTTTAACATTCAACAGGTAGGTGGAAAAGCACCATCTCTTTAAATGTTCAGTCAGTTATCACAATGAAGATCTCTGAATTCAACAGTATTTTTGGGCTATAATTGTATACTATCAACCCATAAAAGAGAGGAAAGTAACAAAGAAATAAACAAAATAATCTAATCAGACCAAAATCAAAGCGAATTTACAGATCATTTAGAAAAAGATTGGACGATCAGATTCACACAAGAAGCTAAATTAGGAGCCACCTATGACCACACAAGAGGCTAATAGTGGAGCTTAGCACAAGACCAGATTAGCAGTAGAACGCAAAAATGCACAGAATGCCAAGCTCACCTGTAGCGACAACACCGAGAAGCCAAAGCCCTCAGTAGCCTGAAGCAAGTGTTGGTAGAAGAGTGGAAAAGGGAAGGGGGCAATAGGAAGGCAACCTCAGCAACAAGAAGCAATGGAAGACCAAATAAAGGAGATAGGAAGCTGCAGTGCTGTGCTTGCGCCCTTTTTTTCTAGGATTCTTTGCTTTGGAGTACCGCCATGAGAGAGAAGTTTTGTAGGGAAAGTGGAGAGCAATCTTGGTATCTTTAGCTGTCACTCTCACTTTTAAGTTTCACCTCATTCGTTGCACACAGTCTTCACTCCCTCTAGAATCTGGCTATTTTACCAGACCTGTCAAAGCTATTACTGTGCCTGAAACAAGTTAGATGTCAGTATTTCCCCATCGGTGGAAATGCTTGGATAGCAGTCACTGAAATCGTAGAAGCTCCCTCTGTACCCGTAGAAGCTCATCCATCTTGTTTTCAGCTTCCAAGCTGAATTTACAGGCGCAAGCTTAGCTCTTCCTTTGAACATGTTCTCATAAGCACGGGACAAGTACAATGATAGCACATAATGTGCTCAACTTTTTTCTGTGGGGAGAAAGCCTGTATGGATCAATGCATGCGACTGCTATAATTTTCTTAAAAAAAGCACAAGTGAATAGTGATAAAGAAAGAAAAAGGGACAACACAACTCAGCTCATTTTAGTGATCAGCTGTACAATAAAGAAAGCACGTTTATGGACCACAAAAGTTGTAAGTAAACAATTTGTCGTACATCTGTACTATGTGGGTTCACTTTGTGGACTCCAAACATTGACACACCTTATGCAGGTCAAAGAAACAGATTTTACCTCCATATGTAACAGTCTCATTTGCGCATTTTGCCAGTGTTACTGAACCCAATCTTGCTGCCATGGAAACACCTGCGAAATTGTGACCAAAACCTGTAAATTCGGCAGTGAATTCATGCGATTTCAGTCGGGTGGCACTAGGAGAATCTGACGAGCCAAAGCATCATGTCAAAAAAAAAAAACTGAACCAAAGCAGCAGCACATGGCGGAGCGAGGGACTCACTGAGTCACTGGAGCCACCGAATTTTGGAACTTTACCGGAACTGAATCTAGTGCCCTCCTCAGTGTCCTAATTTCCTCAATAAATCCCACGAGCAACTCAAGTGCGGAACGCCTATTGTCAAATCTATGGTACATTGGAACCGAGAGGCGGAGGAAGAGGAGGAGAAAGAAGAGTCTTTACCTGATGCGCGGCAGGGGCACTCCAATGGAAGCAACCAGCAGAGGGGCGGAAATCTCGGGTCGAGGAGAGGGGAGAATCGAGATGAAACTTCTCCTTGACCTCCTCGCATTACGTTTCCGTTGAATCCATCCACGTGCGGCGTCCACCTCCGTGGCTCCGCCCGCACCGTCTTCGCCGCCGGAGTTGCGCCGGCCGCCGGAGTTGAGAGCGAAGGCGGCGGCGCCGCCGCTCGCTTGTTGGGTAGCCAGTTTGGGTCGGGCCCACAGCATATGACCCGTTTCGCAAAGTTGGCCCGTTTAAACATTCAGATTAAGGCCCAAAAGCCCATAAATATGGGTCGGGCTGCCCAGATTTTGAAGGCCCAAAAAAAGAAGTGATACGAAGGAGTGTCTCTAATCTGTGCCGCATATTCTTAATCGGACGTCTCACGGAGATCCTAAGGAGTTCGGAGTTTTCTTCTCCGAACCCCTCTGTTTATCAATTCCATCATGTTTGATCGCCGCCACAAGACGTCTCCGCTTTGAGAGGATTTCACAGGCACCCGAGGATTCTGAATTCTGATTTCTATCGTGCTACTTGCGAACTATATATATCCGCGCTCTGCCTTCTGAATTCGATGTTCTGGATCTTGTTTCTTGCAGGTCAGGTGGCAGTGACAGTTTATTACAGACATATCCATTGATATTCAGAAATATTCAGACTCTGGAAGAAATTTGGAGTCTCGGACCATGAAAGTCACTTGGAACGGCTGCAACTTGTAGTGCCCGATTAGCTTATGGTCAGACACAATTTGCCGGTGCTGTGTGTGCTTCATGAGCTAGACTAAGCAGGTGTGTGGAAATTGAAAGTGGACTACTCCTGTTACGCAGTGGATCAGTAAGCCTAACAAGGACAATCAACTAGACTTCTTATGTATGGTCTCTCTCATCTCATCTGCTATTCAGTTGGGGGGACCAATTCATTCATAGCTTCAGTACCAATGTGATTCAGAACTTGCTCTGTATCCTGACAGAAACACAAACAGCAAGGGATGGAACAAGTACAGTCACACACTACTGTTCATAACAGAAACAGGTAGAGTGATTGCATTACGTTTTGGCAAAGCAACGCGAAAACGGAATGCATCTTGAAGCAAATTGTCCACGTAATGCTAGCTGCTAATTAATGATCATGCATGTGTGCCATCTTGAATCATGGAGAAGTGAAAGAGACATCCGAACCAATCGATCAAAACAGGCAGGAACCGGCCATTTGACTCACGTATTAGTTGACTCTCTTCACTTGAGACAGTAGCGTGTTGTATGGTGAGCTCAGGAAGCTGACGGCCTAACAAAGACATTTTTTTACTTGACTTCACCAGTTGATACACGTACGTACGTGGCTCCGTTTTTGCTTCAGATTTCAGCAGGTGCAGCACTGCAGTGCAGACCATTTGTCCTCGCACTTCCTCGCACTACACGTTCGAGATGTAGTATACTACTACCAACTGTTGAATTTCCTCTCTGAATACTGTATGCTAGACTAGAGTCAGGTTCTTCCATAATTTTGATCAATGATTCCAGCCAGTATTCCAAGTTGCCTGAACCTCAATTTTGATTAGCATTACATCATCATCATTCTAGACAGTCAAGACAGTACTGATGTAGCAGAAAGAACTTTTAAAGTTTCAGAAAATGCATGCCTCCAGTCAAATTTTCAGAAAAAGAAGGATCAATCTAGACAGACAAGACAGAAAGAACTCTTTAGGCTCTGTTCGTTATGAGGAGATAGGGGAGATTGATTATCGTTTTCCACGTGCACGCTTTTCAAACTACTAAACGGTGCGTTTTTTGCAAAAAATTTCTATAGGAAAGTTGCTTTAAAAATCATATTAATCCATTTTTGAAATTTAAAATAGTTAATACTCAATTAATCATGAGTTAATGACTCACCTCGTTTTGCGTATCTCCCCAATCTCCTCAATCCCCTTCTCCTCAAACACACCTTAATCAGCTGACTGATGTAGCACTAGAGCGTCATCACCATTCTAAAGGTCGGCACCATGAAATTTTCTCTGGTTTTGACTGTTTGACTCCAAAAGCAAAAGGGGCTCATTGATCGATCGCGTTCTTAATTTCCTTGTCCATTGGATTACTGAAGAAACGGCAACATATATGATCGACCAAACACCCGTCTGACATGTATAACAGTGAAAGTCCAGCCACAATCTCTTGCATGCATTTGGAGCATGCCACTGTTTCAGCACAACCGAATGATTCAGAACATACACTAGCTGTGGCATATTTGCTACTAGTAAGACTATGCTATCGAAATTAAATTATAGTGTTTGCAACAACTCTGCCCAAGGAAGTGGCCAGGAAGAACACAACTTGAAATTAAGCTAGCGATTACAAATCGATAAATCCAAGCAGAATTAAAGAAAAAAGGATGAAGGAGAAGAACGCTGTAATTAACGGTAATGCATGACTTAAGCAGTCCAAAACGATTTGAGGATACTACTCACATGTGTGCGTGACTTGACGATGTAGGAGTAGTATTGTCCAACAGCACGAGCTATTCAAAACTCAAAAGAGGAGTCAAGCAAGCCGCAAAGCCAACAGCCTGCAAGTACCTGACATTGACCTGGTGATGAAAAGTCTCAGCTTACACCCAACCATTTTCACATTTGCCAACAACATAAACAACGCAAAGAAATGAGCTTGCTAAACCTTCCTTTGTTGGTTTCTGTACAAGAAAAATGATGGATTAATGTTACATAATTTGATTTCGAAATATTGCTGAAACTGAAAGCGTCCATTTCATTCTTTTTCTGCGCTTACTCTGATTCATGCCAGGTCAAGATTTAATTAGGTTAATTGCATGTATGAGATGTACTAGTTAGTACTGGCCGTTATATATAAACACGGTCAAAATTAACCTAATTAATTAAACAGTTGAATTGGGAAAATATATATAATGTAATGAATCAATGTTTGAATTGAACGAAATATCATATCACCATGTACTCTGTACGTAGTTTAGAACAGGGGCACGCGATTCTGATCTGACGACACATCAAAACTATGGGCACGAGCGTGCGTTAGTCAGTTAGTTAGCGTTGAGAAAATTAGTTGAAATCTCTAGCACTAGCTTCTTAGCTTGCATGCACGCGAGATCACACCTAGTTTAATTGGTCAATTTTGATTCGCAAATTCTGTACGTCTACGTGTACGTACGTACGTAAGCACATGTTCTTAATTTGTTTGTATTGTCGTTCAATGGTACATGTGTATTCTCCAATCAAATTGACCTCATATATGCACATTGTACGCAGTTGATGATCCGTCCATATTGTACTATCTGAGGAGCGATTAGATCGTGTTTGAAATTCCTGAAACGATTAGTATAGGACTAGCTAGGATTTCAGTTCATTAATAATTAGTAATTATTAAGTTAGGTACAAATAAGCATGTACGTAGTACTATATTTGTAGGCAACTAAGGACACATATCATCGATCACTCTCTCTTTTCACTCGTTAATTAGCTGGTGATATCAGAGCTGAATGCAATCATATCGTTGTTGTCATGTTGTGGATTAGTCCAACAACATACCAAACTCTTGTAATATGATCACTTGTGGTTGAAGCAAAATTAAATCACGTTTCAACACCTAATGAGGCAACCAAAAGATTGTTTTGCTTCAGAAACAAATAATTTGATGCCAAATCCCCATCTATATATGAATTTCATTTTTAAAAGTTTGTCTTTCTACGAGTAATATATATATTGATTCTTAAACTTGGGTGGAGTTGTCACTTAGGTCAACTAAAATTAAAATTTCAAAATTGCACGTTTAAATGCATCAGCTTGGTTTAATGAACCACAACAAGTCCAAACCTCGTTTGACGGGAACTCACTGTTGACATGGCGCTCCACGCAAACAACAATTTTGCATTCGCTCTCCTCCGTGTCATAGCGTGGCCCCCTCCACATATAGTACTACCCCAAAGCACCCCAAACCCTCTAAATCTCTACCTCCATCACCTTCTCCCCGATGGTTAGAGTTTTGACGGCGAGGGTAATGTCGCCCACCCACTTGCCACTCTCCCTTGCAACCTTCGCTTCGGGGGAGAATGGGAGGGATTTGGGGGGATTCCGTGTAGGGGTCTAAAAGCAAAATTACCGTCACGCCATGACATGGAGGAGGGTGGATGCAAAATTATTGCCTACATGGAGTGCTACATCATCGATCAACTTGGTTCAAACGGGGTTTGGATTGTTGTGGTTCATTAAACCAAGATGGTGGAATTGAACATACAATTTTTATGTTTAGGCACCTCTGCTCAATTTTAAATACTGGCCATGTATCTCTCTTTTCCTAAATAAGGTTAAACCCTAATAATTTTAAGGAAAAGTAAGGTTATATATACTTTTTTTTTCAAAACTCTTACAAAGGAAGATCTCAACCATCTGATCTAGCCGATTGGTAGTTAATAAAAGTCAAAATGAAGTCACAATTTGCCACGTAGTTTTTATAAAGAGTTTGCAAGTTTTTTTTTTTACATGTATCATTTTCATGTAAGAAAGAGTAAAGACAGATGAGTTTTTTTTTCATGATAATCATTTTTTTCTCTCTAATTACTATTATTTTCTAAATCTATTTGCATATGAAACTTTGATGACATAATTTATCATTATATTTATATTAATTTATTGAACACTGATATTGGTATCCAAACCATACCTAAAAGATTCATTTCTTAAGAAGAAAAATATCAAGGGGTTATTTCTAAATTTATTTGAAAAATAAATAAAAATAACAAAAAAAGTTGTCCATATATAGGCCACCCCCTCGTCTCCCCTGAAGTGTCCGTCCATCCCCAGTCAAGTTCGCCGCGCGCAACACTCGCAGCAGAGCATCCACCCATCGTCGATGCTCACCGCCGCCATGCACATGCTCGACTCCTCCACCTCCTCCTCCCCTTGGCTTCCTCCCGACCTCATGCCTCCCCCGCCGCCGCCGCCGCCCGCCGCCGCCACTCTCCACCACCACTTCCGCGCCGCCGCCGCCGCCCCCGGCCGCCGCCGCATCGCCAAGCGCCGACCGCGCCCGTCGCGGCGCCTTCCCACCACCTACATCAGCGCCGACCCGGCAAACTTCCGCCGCATGGTGCACCAGGTCACCGGCGCCGACGACCTCCCTCCCCCTCCTCCATCGCTCTCTCTACAGCAGACGACGGAGCTCCTCCTCCCGGCCGTGCACGCCGCTCCAGCGGGCTCGCCCGGCGCTGCAGGCGCGCTGATGCTTCCCACGCTCGACACCTCGGCGTTCCTGCTCGGCCGCCGCGCGGAGCCGGCGGCCGCGGCGCCGCCGTGCGACGAGTCGGTGGCGTTGGTAAGAGGAGGAGCGGGTAATTACGGCAGCAACAACAATAGCATTAGCAGCAGTAGCAGCAGCGGCAACTGTGGTGGTGGCTTCCCCACCTTGGACTCATGGGATCTCCTGTAAATCTAGATCATATATTGTCGATTTCTATCGATTTCTGATTCTTCATGGCTGTAATTAACTAAGACGAGATCAATGAACAGGTTGGAGCATCTATCTACCTGATTCTCTGTTCGTGTCCTTGTTAATTTTAAGCTTATGCCTCGTATACACATGGATGATTTTTTTTATCAGTAGTGTTATTTTATTGATCTTACTTAATTTAGAGTTCCTTTTCTTTTAATTATTAAGTGCGACTGTTAAGTTCGTTTTGATCTTCCTTCTGCTGATTCCAGCATCACTGCATCAGCCTCAAGGTTCTTAATTTATGCAGGATTTTTGTTCTTGTGAAACTCTTTTGCTTTGTTTGATTAGTTGGCTCTTGCTTTTCTATTGATTTTGAGTCTTTGATGAATCCTCCTTCCAACAGTAGAGCTGCTCCAGCACCATCTCACTGAACATGTGGTTTCTGATCATTTGGTGAACAAAATGTAACAAAAGATGTTTTTTTATATTAGTACATTTTAGAGAGGTGCTTAGTGCATTAATTCAGCTTTAGCTATATAATTAATTAATTAATGCACCAAACCACTGTGGGGGGCAGTAGCATGTAAATGCTGCTTAGACAGTAAGATACGTTAGGATGAAGCTAACAGTTCAATTGGAGCAGAGCAGGGTTGAGAATCAGTACTTGGAAAAGATTGATTGTGAGATACAACAATAATAATATCGTAATCATCGAGCCAGGTTTTTTTAGAAAAATAAAGTATTGCAATCATATATGCACACGCATACTAAGACTGAGTTTAGATCCAAAAGTTTTTCTTCAAACTTCTAACTTTTTTATCACATCAAAACTTTTTTACATGGCTGTGTTTAGTTTCTGAAATCGGGGAGAAGTTTGGGGAAAGTTGGTAGTTTGGAAAAAAAATTTTGAGAGTTTATGTGTAGGAAAGTTTTGGATGTGATGGAAAGTTGAAAGTTTAGGGGAAGTTTGGTGTGAACTAAACAGGACCATACATAAATTTTCAACTTTTCTGTCACATCGTTCAAATTTCAACCAAACTTTCAATTTTGACGTGAACTAAACACAACTTAAGGTTCAGCGGAAGAGTAACTTTTTTTAAAAAAACCTAAGGCGGAACTTTGTTCCACTTTTATATTTAGAAGAAGATAATTGACCCAGTTTATAAAAAAAATCGGACCCGAAAACTACACAACTGTCACGGTTAATTACAGAAAAACCAGCTAAAAACCACCGTTACACAACTAACTTTACATTGATCTACCAGTAACATCGTTAGTAGAAGTGATATTAACATAATTGTACTATTAATAATTGATGTGATAGTATAAATAGATATAATTCATTGTAAAGAGTACTATAAAACACCGCAGGGCGGAAAATGAAAGGAAAAAAAAAGAAACAAATTGGGTGTGGAATCAACATGCATGCTTAATGGGAAGAAAAAACAAATATGAAGTGTATTTGTTAAACACATATGTAGGCTTGATCTAGAGCTGAGCTGTTTGGTGCTTACAAGTAACTACCTCTAGATTGCCCCTAAAATACAATGCAAAAAGGGAAGTTGACAAGGAAAGGACTATATCAACGGAGAGGAAGAATCAGAGGCACGAGCTGTTGACTACTGAGTCTGCGTGTGATTTCTTTCTCCTCAATTTGCAGTGTACGTGTGCTGTGCCATCAACAAGTGTGGCTCTGGCTAGCACTTAGCAGCCCCTGGTCCTGATGAGATGATGGTCAGGCAGTCGGTCCAAACCGCCAAAAGTCTGGGTCCGTTCCTGGACGATGTTAACACATAGGAGTACAATACAAACCAACGGCTGTCCTAATTACTTATCGATGTCGTTTACCGTACTACTAATAACTTACTAATAATAGTAGAATTAGCATATTTTTTTTAAAATTAACAAGGAGGAGAATTCATGGTCCAGCACTCCAGCATGCCGCTGTTAGTCAAAATTCGCGGCTCCTCTTATGGGTTCGTAGTTCATATTTTCGTACGTACTACCCCTTCCCAAAATATGTGTAAATATGTGTAGCCATGAGTAACCGTGCCTAACGTTTCATCATCCGTCTTATTTAAAATATTTTTAAAAAAAATCACACATAAAATAATATTTATGTTTTATCATCTAATAAAAATTTTAGGACGAATGGAGTATATGGCTACGCAGTGAGAGCGACAAAGGGATGGATGTTGGCCGCCGGCCGGCCACGCAGGAGGGGACACCACCATTGCACTTGCAACGATCGATGCAATTGACTGCTTGGTTTGCCTCCTCTCCGGTCTCCGCTGCCGTCCTCATCAATCACTTCTCATTTGTTTGTTTGGACCCAGCATCCCTTACCTCTACACTGCATGTGATTCCTCACAGCCCACCTGACCTGACCTCCCTCCCGGCCCCAATGCTTACACCATCATTGCGTCATGCTCATGTCATAAATGAACATTTTTACACATCGCTGCAACATCTTCAGAAAACGGAAGGCAATACTGTGTTGTTCATGCTAAACACATCACTGTCGGCTCAGCTGGATCAACAGCGACCCTTGCTTACACAACGGAGACAGGAAGGATGCAAGCCCAAGCGAAAACAGGCACCGACTGTGTTTGCCGCAGACAGATAAGCAGGGTCAGCTGGCGCACAGCACCACTGATCACGCCGCGTTGGCAGGATGAAACAGTACACCACTGCTTCAGATAATGACAGTTTGAACCTACTCACTTGACCTCTACATATAACAATGTACAAGATCTCAACACCATGCGTTTGCAGGCTCAGGCATGCCATCACGGTGATATGGTTACTTACTTTGCCGCCTTCAGTACAGCAATACCAGTAAGGAACACGCCCTAGATATTTCACTACCAAAGAATTTCTACACCTCAACTGTTAGGGGCACAAAAGAGAGTTATGCTCGCCGGGCATGGAGGTGGAGCTCATACTTTAGTAAACTGCAGCTGGGAAACAGAGGCAGGCTAAACTGATGGCGAAGAGTTTGAAGACGGCGATGGAACTGGAAACCAGTGTTTTGATGCTTGAAATGCCAATGGAGATACCCTCCCTTTCTCAAAAAAAAAAAAAAAAAAAAAAAAAAAAAAAAAAACTGCAGCTGCGACAAGCCACTACGTACACTTCTCCATGTCGCCAACTATAAATCCGAATCTGCCTAAACCTAGAACGAATGCAAAGAGCAAAAATTAGTACTGATAAATGATAAATCTAATCAATGAGTGAGTGAGAAATGCTGGAACATTTAAACACAACAAGAAAATCAGATTCTAATCCAGGCTGGGGGTTTATTGATTTATTTTGCTACTAGCTATGTAGAATTACAAGAAAGAACAGTCTCATTTGACTTTATCCATTTCTTTTGCCTCCAGAGACACTACTGGTTGTTCCTCATGAGTAACAAAAGAACAAACGGCACCTTTAGCACCAATCAACATCATTTTAAATTGCAAAAGGTACAAAAAGGTGGTTTGTGTGGCTTTGGGGAAGTCAAGCTACAACAATTCCATAACAAGTCCACATGGTTGTTTTCAGGGGTGGCAGCAAATAAGTCCGGGAATAAGAGACACTGGCAAAGAGTTATTGTGCAAGGTTACAAGAACAAGTCAAAGTGTCTCACATGGCTGGTGAAATTGAAAACAACAGGAAATAAAAGTATGCTCAGAGATGTTCATAATGCCTACAACTACGTGTAATGAAATGTAGTTGATATCACCTATATATAAATAAGGAAATAAGTTATATATATGCACTATCACCAACGTACCCTTGTTGGAAAAGTTATTATATCAGACACCCGCCTCAACAAATTAATATGAGAGCCTGAAGTAAGGATATCATATAACATATCCATATATATATACCATCCCAGATTACCTATTTCACAGTAACTTCTTTGTGAGCTTTAAATGATAGAATCACGTTCCACGCAAGGGCTACAAAATTAGCAGCAAGAACCTGGAAAAATTAGCAGTATACTAGGTGAGAACAACATTCAGTCATGCTAAAGCAGACAGAAAGAAGCAAATTCAGCTCCAGAGTACAGTATTGCACTCTAAAATATTTCATGAAATGAAAATGTGAAAGATTTCAAAGACCTGAAATTTTTGTGGGACAAAGTAAAAATTCAAGAACTGAAAAGGTATCCACAATTGCCAATTTGCAATCACTGATGATAACCACTCCTGTAAAATTACAACTGAAAATTAGCTAGCAGTAAATGAGTGCACACACATATTATCAGGGAGATGAGAGAATCAATCAGAAGAGGTTCATGTCACCTGCTTGAGCTTTGGAACTACAAGAGAAGGCTTTCCCTCCAAGGTGACGAGTAAACTCATAAACACTCCAATGAAAATGGGAGAGAAAATGAACTGAAAGGAGGAGATAAAAAAATATCAAAAAATAAATACATAAATGCATAAAAGAGCTAGAACAGAACAAGCAGCAACACTCTCTCTTTGGGGGCAGAAGGGAAAGGAAAAGGATATGCATATACCTGATCAAGTAAGAGGCGAGCAATTGCACCTGACGCACCATTGATCATCACTAATTTACTCAAGTACAAGTACCTGCATGTGGCAACAAGTAATGAAACAAACAGCACTGGGCAGAGAACACATGCTATCCTCTATAAACATTGGTTGTTCAGCATAAATAAGATTACCAGACATGCAATGTTGGCCCCACCAGGACGAGTCCCAAAAATGTGAATACAAACGTTCTCTTCAAATCTAGCTTTGGCACTTTATCAATTGCGAGCTGGAGCAGTACCAAACAATGGCAACAGTAAATATCTCGTAAGAAACCTTAACAAGATACCACAATAACAAGAACAGGTGAAATATCAAATATTTTGCCCAATCCATGGATGCAACCCAGTTGGAATAGACATTGTTTTTTAATAATGGAATAGGACACTGTTGCTGGAGTAAAGTCCGTTGAGGAATCAAATAATATGAGTTACAGATTAGCATAGGCTAAAGACCGACACAGTTGAGTAAAGACAATATATTCAGATTATGGTTGACACAGGATTGGATAAAAAGATATGGACCTGAAATTTGATAAGACCGTAACAGCCTAGCCAGTTAAGAGTTTCACATCATGTCATATTTAGAAAACAAGGAAACTAAAAGAGTGCAGCTAGGGCAGAAAAGAACCATAACTCAGTAAATTGATTTCCAAGTGGTATTAGCAATGGATAACATTTCAATGTTGTTTTGAAGGAAAATTGGTATGATTTGACCATTTGATGCTAATGCCCATCTAAGCACGCCTGGCTATGTGCTATTGCAGAGTAATAGGAAGCCCTCTACAACAAGAGAGGGAGACTACTGGTTCATTGTTCGTCAACCAATTAAGTAGTACTAAGTAGGCTGCAATGTATGGATGTGAAAATGCGGCAAATAGAAAACAACTGCAAGTCACCTGGCAGATGAGGTCTCCGGTCAGGGTTAGGACGGCAGAGGTAACAGCCTTAGTGGTGATGGGATGCTTATCAAGAGCCAGCAGGTACCTGCAAATCATGGCGCATTTCAGTAATTTTGCATTTAGATAAGAGTATTGCAAAAAGCGAGGCACAAGACCATGTCAGTGCTTGGCCGCAGGAGGCACCGGGAATCAGGAAGAGGCGGAATTGGATTTACCAAGCCAGCAGGAGACGCCAATCCATTTCTCCTTTTGCTCCACCACCACCACCTCCTCCTCCGGCGGCGACTCCGGCGGCGGAGGCGGAATCGCAGCAGGAGGCGGCATGGAGCTTCGAGAGGCGGACGCCCTTGCGCGGGTGGACGACGGCGGTTGTCGCCGGGAGCGAGGCGGGGCGGGGAGGGAGGGCGAGGCGGCGGGAGTGGAGGAGCGGCGGCGCGGTGGGCCTCGGAGTCGGAGGGGTGGAGCGGTGCACGAGGAGGAGCGGGAGGGTGGAGGCCATCGCCATGGGTGGTGCTTGCACTGATGCTGCAACTGCAATGGTGTGAGGAGGAGCTTGGGTTTTGGGTCGCACTGGACTAGGGTTCTACTAGTAGTTGCAATTTTGGGGAGAAAATGATGAGGTAGACGAAGATGCTAGCAATGGATGATGGGCTTTGCATATTTGGGCTCTCGGCTTCCTTGTTGGGCTCTTGGCCCACCTACATTTATCTATCTATCTATTATATTATATTATTAAAACAGCTTTAAAAGAGGCACCACGTTTGCTGTGGGGGATAAAAATTCTCACATTAATCGGAGAAAAAGGAAAAAAAAGAAAAGGAGAGTCCAAGTAGAAATACAATATAAAAATAGATGAAATTCGGAATTAAAAATAATTAATATTGAAAGAAGTTTCCATATAAGTACCCAATACGAGAATAATCAAAATTCGAAATAAAAATAAAATAAAATCCAAAATTAGAAAAGAAAAGGATAATCCAGGTAGGAATATAATTTTAAAATAGCTGAAATTCGGAATTAAAAATAAGAAATATTAAAAGAAGAGTCTATATAAGAACACAATACGAGATTAATCAAAATTCAGAATAAAAATAAAGTAAAATCTAAAATTAGAAAAGAAAATGAGAGTTCAAGTAGAAATACAATTTAAAAATAGCTGAAATTCGAAATTAAAAATAAGCAATATTGAAAGAAGTTTCCATACAAGAACCCAATACGAGATTAATCAAAATTCAAAATAAAAATAAAATAAATCTAAAATTAGAAAAATAAAATGATAGTCCAAGTAGGAATACAATTTTAAGATAGCTGAAATTCGGAATTAAAAATAAAAAATATTAAAAGAAGAGTCCATATAAGAATCCAATACGTAATCAAAATTCGGAGTAAAAATAAAAATAAAGTCCGAAATTAGAAAAAAAAAAGAAGAGTTCAAGTAGGAATACAATTTAAAATTAGCTACAATTCGGAATTGAAAATAAGCAATATTGAAAGAAGAATTCATATAAGAATCCAATACGAGATTAATTAAAATTCAGAATAAAAAATAAAATAATATTCAAAATTAGAGAAAATTAAAAGAGAGTTCAAGTAGGAATAAAATTTTGAAACAACTGAAATTAAAAATAAAAAATAAAAATATTAAAAGAACACGATACGGTATTAATTAAAATTTGGAAAAAAATTCTGAAATTATAAAAAGAAAAATAAGATTTCAATTAGGAATATAATTTATAAATAACTCATTTGGGATAAAAATAACGACTATTGAGAGAAAAGACCATCTAAAACACATGACCAAATAAATTAAGTAACATGCTTATAAAGGAGTAGAGTGGTGGCGGTTGATACGATATATAAAAACTGTTAATAAAACACCAAATAGAATCCTAATGACAATTAAAAGGAGGGACGACAGGCAGGCCGTCAAACAAACAAGCAGGCAGTTGCCGGGACTTCTATAAAGTTAAAAAAAACCATTGATAATCAACGACAATAAAAAGAAGAAGGAGCGAGCGGGGTGTATAGAGTATAGTTGCAGAGCCGCCGATGGTTGACGGGTCTTCTAGAAAATAAAAAATGAATTTCAACGATAGTTATGTTCGATTTTTAGAATCACAATGACAATAAAGAGTAGGCGGCAAACGGGTCATAGAGGAGCATAGTGATATTGTTTGACGGGACTTCTAAAAATTATAAAAAATGGAACCCAACAAGACAATAAACTCTAAAAACTATAAGGTCTAATTTTTAAAGGTTCGGAACTTCTAAAAAGTAAAAAAAACCAATGATAATCATGTTCAATTTTAAAATCTCAATGGCAATAAAGAAGGGAGGGAGCGGGCGAGCCGTAAAGGAGTACAATGGCAAAGCCGCTAACGGTTTGGCGAGACTTCTTGAAAAGTAGGAAGTAAAAATGAACCCAAACGATAATTATGTTCGAATTTTAAATCTCAATGACAATAAAGAGAAGAGACGGTGGACGGGCCGTAGAGGAGTATAATGGCAACGTTTGACGAGACATCTAGAAATTATAAAAACGAAACCCAACGTGACTATAAACTTTAAAAACTATAAGATCTAATTTTTAAAGGTTACAAGAAGAATGAATAGAAATAGCGGTAGATCAAGCAAGTAAATAAAGAAGGAGATGACATAAGGGGTAGTAGCTGGTGTGACTTTTAAAAACTACTCCATCCGTTTCAAAATGTTTGACACCGTTGATTTTTTAGAACGTGTTTGACCATTCGTCTTATTCAAAAAATTTAAGTAATTATTTATTATTTTCATATCATTTGATTCATTGTTAAATATACTTTTATATACACATATAGTTTTACATATTTCATAAATTTTTTTAATAAGACGAACGGTTAAACATTTGCTAAAAAGTTAATGGTGTCAAATATTTTAAAACGGATGGAGTATATAATTAGAAACATATAGATGATAAGGTTTGGTCTTTCGAAATCTTAAGAAAATGAGGTAGCTATTTAATAAATTTTAAGTAAAATCATAGTAAAAAATATATGTTTTGTTTAGGTGCTAGTTTAGGTCTAACCTAACTGTGCCCATCTCGCCGGCGCCGCCTCCATTCTTCTCATCCTCTCCACTGCGGCGCGGCGGCGCGGCCTCTTAGCGCCATTTCCTCCTCCACTTGGAAGCAGCAGAAGCGGAAGCCCGTCGCCCGCCTGGCTCGAGCTCAAGGCCATGGAGTAGTAAGTACCAATCCCTTGCTGTCCATTGCTACCTACCTGTATTTTAGTTTGCCCCTGTATTTCTGTCTCTGTACATGTCTGATTGATTGATTAGCGAAGATTTTCATGTGTTCTGTCCCAGTGATGAGCAGTTTAGTAATCTGAGCACTTGATTCAGTTCAGTTGGTGCTCCCTCCACTGCAATATGCTGTGAGGTTGAAGGAACCGATCGATCGATAATTCCATGTGCACTGTTGAGAATAGGCATTCTGAGGGACAGACATGATTCAGTTTAGTTTGCTTCTTCGTATTTTAGATTAGTGTTTTAATCTTCCTTTTCATTTCAGTGTGATTCTTGGTGTTAAATACTTTTGCTGGTGGAATGGAGTTGGAGCCTCAGTCCAGGCTTTGGTTTTCCCTGATCAGATCCAGTCCTAATTGCTTGTTTGTTTATCAGTTATGATCAGTCACTTGCTCTGACGATTCGGAGGGAGGATGAATAGCGGATCACAAAACGAGATGATTGATTCATGTGAGATCCAAGCACCCATCTTGAGCTGTATTTTCTTTAGAGTTCTTGACGGTCTGGAATCCTAATGTGTTCTCTTTCCATGGAAAATTTTTGGGCATTTCAGTTTCAGAGCGGCAAGGAGCCAAGGATGCAGCAGCACTAGGGTCCTAGTCCAAATTGTCAGCTGGGGGATCAATGGCAATGGCGGAGACGGTGAGGCTGCCCGAACAGCAGCGTCGCAGGCCTCTCACCATTGCCAGCCTCCCTGAAGAAATTATGTCGGAGATTCTGCTCCTGCTGCCGCCAAAATCCATCCTCCAGTGCCGTGCCGTCTGCAAGGCCTGGCGGGACGTCACCTCCGACCGCGCCTTCCTCCTCACCCACCACCGCCGCCAGCCTCCACAGCGCCTCCTCACCTTCATCCGCGACGTGGGCAGTCACCACGATGACCTGGATATCCTGGACTACTGTGTTGAAGCCGTTGACTTCCGCACACACCAGTTCCAGTCTCTGGCCCGGTTCACTGGCCAAGATTACGACTGCTCACTCGAAGACAGCCCATTCACCGTCCACGCTTCTTGCGATGGTCTCCTGCTCATGTCCTACAACAACTATTTGCATCTCTGCAACCCCACTACACGTCAATGGCTTTGGGTCTCCCCCCCGGCGCTTCAACATGACAAGGTCGTGGGGCTCTATGCACATGGACATCCTTCCGAATACCGAGTATTGTACTATCGAGAATTTGGTTTGGGACGTACATTCTACATCACCACTGTTGGCTCCAGGAAGGAGAGGCGCATTTGGCCACATTCATCATCAGAATCCCTGAGAAAGTGGTTGACAAAAGGGACAGAGGATACTGAATTCAACAAGCCTTTCCTGTTTCATGGAAACCTGCACTGGTTGCCACAGTCAGGTCGACAAAACAAGATAGTGGTGTTCGATACACTGGATGAGGCGTTTCGGTGGTTGCATGTACCTTTCAAGATGCACAATGTGTCCTCATTACTCGAGATTGAGGGTAGCCTTGCCATGTCAAACAGCCATATTGGATCATCAAAGGTGGATCTTTGGCTTCTGCAAGATTATAAGCATATGGTATGGGTCCACAAGTATCGAATTGAATTGCCAGTGATAGAGATTCGCCGTTTAGTAGAAGATGATGTTTGGTTTCTTCATATTGTTTCCCAAGAGGGTGATGTCTTGGTTGATGGATCTTATTGGCAGTTTCACTACGACATGAAGGGTAATTTGCTGGAGAAATTTCAATGTAGTGGCCGCATGCTGAACATTACTCCACATATTCTCCAAGAAAGTCTCGTTCCACACGAAGTGTTCCAAATTCTAGATAATGAAAGTAGACATGCACCACATTTCTTCAGGGGGTTGTAGAGCATACTTTCTGTACTGTGAGGCTATTTCACACTTTTGGGCGTCTATTCATTGGATACTGCAATTTTAGCGATGGAACTTAATTTTGTAGTGAATGGTCAATGATCTGTTGTTGCAAAGGGCAGCATTCACTCTGATCAGTATTTCTGTACCTCCACATGTTCATCTTTAACATCGAGGGTATCATTTCAGTACTGTACGTGGGAAATTTAAATGCCTGAGACTGTTTTTTCCTGGTTTGTGGAAGTCTGAGACTGAACAGTTGATTATGCTCGTTGTTTATTTCAACATCGCAAGATGGTTACTTCCTTCGTTTCACAATGTAAGCCATTCTAGCATTTCTCACATTCATATTGATGTTAATAAATCTAAATAGATATATATGTCTAGATTCATTAACATCAGTATGAAAGTGAAAAATACTAAAATGACTTGCATTGTGAAACGGAGGGAGTACTTTTTATTGGCTTCTTGCAACTTAATTTTGCCACTCTGGTATTGAAAGGTCATTGTCTACTTGTGTTGGTGATGCGTATGTCTGATGAGATCCTTAGTGCCATTTATTTTGAGTTTGTTGTGTCTTGCTGGAATTGTTGGGTTACATTCCCTGTTTGAACAGTGACTCTGGAATTGTTGGGTTACATTCCCTGTTTGAACAGTGACTCTGGAATTGTTGGGTTACATTCCCAGTTTCAACAGTGACTAGTCATGAACTGGATATCCTAGTCGGTAAGGAGGTCTTATAGTGACTCAACTTGAATTTATGACTGCACCTTCACTGGGCTGCTGGAATTTCCTCAACCTTTGTGCTTGTTGCAGGAACCGAATTACCAGATTGATGTTATCTACGGAGTGATGGAATCCAAGTATCCAACAGGAACAGGTCCTATTACCATCAGGACCCAGAATTATAACATGCATAATAAACACGAAACAGGAGAGGAGGCAGTATAGTCAAGCAGTATAATTATATTCTTGAGATTGATTAATTATCGGCAACTAGCTGGCTTAATTACTTGCACTCATCCAAGTCCATACAAAAGATATACAGTACCATTTCAGCTTTTTAGCCCATCATTCGCTTCAACTCAACCGGCAACTGGGCTTAATTTACGGCCCAAAGACTGGTCCAATCAAAAGTGAACTATGACGAATGGGAATAAGTATATTTTTCATCCCTCATCTCTTGCCCCTGGTCGAATCGCCTCCTTCAATAGCAAAACCGGGTATAATGACTCCCTCATCTTTGAAAACCGGTGCAAATCGACTCTTTTGGTGGTTTCAGAAGCGGTTTTATCCTACGTGACACTTGTGGGACCCACATATCGGTGAAAAAATAAAAAAATAAACAACCCCACATGTCAGTCATCCTAATCTCAACCTTTTTTTTTTCTCACCACTCTCTCTTTCGTGTTCTCTCTCTCTTGTCGGTGGAGAAGAAGCTCGACTACTACAGCGGAGAGGGGCGCCCGCCGCAACAGCAGGAGGGGGGGAGGAGGGGCGCGACACAGAGCAAGCAGTTTCCGAGGAGGAGGACGCGAAACCGCGTGAGCACATGGCAGGGGAGGGACCGATGGGTGGGAGGACGCGGTCGCCACCGCAACGTCCTTCTCTGCTCCTTGGCTCGTCTCCACGGCGTCATTCCGTGCGGGGAGGAGCTCCAATGTGATGGGTTGCTGGTGCTGTGGGGACGACAGGGTGGAGTCTATTTGTGCATAGAGTCTATTTCAAGAAGAAGAACCGGAGGAGGAAGAGGTAGAAGCATGAGAGGGCCGACTTGTTCCACGACGTTATCGCGCCCACGCTGCAGCCGATCACGCACGTGGAGAGGACCTGGGCGGCTACGGCGTGTGCGGAGAAGAGAACACCAACCGGCTGCGCGTGAGGGAAGGAGCCGCCTGCCGTGGCGCGCGTAGACAAAGGAGCTCGCCGACCACTACTCCGCCGGCAAATAGAGAACGGGAGAGGTGAGGAAAAAAAGGATGAGATGTTTTTTTTTTCATTTTGCTCTTACTGATATGTGGGTCCCATAAGAGCCACGTAGGATAAAACCGCTTGCAAAACCATTGAAGGAGTTTATTTGCACCGGTTTTCAAAGATAAGGGAGATGTTATACCCGGCTTTACGATTAAGGGAGACGATTCAACAAAGGGTAAGAGATGAGGGAGGCAAAATAGGCTTATTCCATGACGAATGCTTCTCTCCCCGTAGCAGCCCAGGTGCACATGGGCCCAGCAACCGCAGCCGCGGAGGCAGCACTCGCCCGCCGCGCCGCCGACCCGCTGCCCGCGCTCCGCCGCCGCGACGCGCTCCCGCTCCCGGCGCGCCTCTTCGCGCAGCTCCACGCTCTCGTCCTCACCGCCGGCCTCGCGCGCCATTCCCCCAACTTCTCCCTCCTCCTCCGCCTCGCCTCCCCTCTCCTCCCCGTCTCCCACCGCCTCCGCCTCCTCCTCTCCTCCCCGCTCCCGCCCACCACCTTCCTCGCCAACTCCCTCCTCCTCGCCTCCTCCTCCTCCCGCTGCCTCCCCTCCGCGCTCTCCCTCTACGCCCTCCTCTTCCTCTCCTCCTCGCCGCCGCTCCTCCGCCCCAACGCCTTCACCTACCCGCCGCTGTTCCGCGCCGCGCCTCCGGCCCTCGCCCTCGCGCTCGCCACCCATTCGGTCAAATTCCTCGGCGCCCATGCTGCCTCCTGCGACCGCGTCCTCGGTGCCGCGCTGCTCGGCGTCTTCGCGCGCTGCGGCAGGATCGCCTCATGCCGCCGGGTGTTCGACCGGATCGCGCACCCCGACCTGCCGGCCTGGAACGCGCTGCTCTCCGCCTACGCGCGTCTTCGTGCCAGGGACGTGGCCTGCGCCACCTCTGCGGCGGATGCAATCCTCGAGCTGTTTGTGCGGATGCTATCCTTAGCCATTGAACCCAACGAGATCACGCTCGTCGCCGTCATCGGCGCGTGCGGCGAGCTTGGCGCTGTCAGCCACGGGGTGTGGGCGCACACCTATGCCGTGAAGCGCCGGCTCGCCGTCAACTGCATCGTGGCCACGGCGCTTGTGGAGATGTATGCCGGGTGCGGGAGGCTGGACCTGGCCGAGCAGGTCTTTGCAGCCGCTTCGGACAGGGACACGCGCTGCTACAATGCGATGCTCCATGGCTTGGCAGTCCATGGCCATGGCCGTGCTGCCCTCTCCCTGTTGGACAGAATGCACGGTGCGGGCGTGCCGGTGGATGGCGTCACTGTGCTATCCGTGATGTGTGCTTGTGCCCATGCTGGATTGGTGGATGAAGGTCTGGACTACTTCGACAGAATGGAGATCGAATTCGGGATTGAGCCAAGGATTGAGCATTACGGATGCATGATTGACATGCTGAGCCGGGCTGGTCGACTTAACAATGCCGAGAAGCTGATCCACGAAATGCTCATCGTGCCAAATGCCGCGATATACAGGTCTCTGATCCGGGCCTGTGGCATTCATGGCAAGCTGGAGCTCGGTGAGAAGATGATCGCAGAATTGATGCGACTTGAACCGGATGACAGTGGAAACCATGTCCTGATTTCAAACTTCTATGCGAGAACGAACCGATGGGAGGATGCCAAGAAGGCGAGGAAGGAGATGAAGTCCATGGGCATTGACAAGAACCCTGGATCAAGCCTTGTAGACATCAATGGAGTTCTCCATGAGTTCTTGGTGGGTGACAAGACACACCCTGCCTCAAAGGAGATATACACCATGGTTGAGGAGATAGAAACCAGGTTAATCGAGTGCGGACGCCGGTCGAGCACCTCGTCTGCGTTGTTTGATGTCGAGGAGGAGGACAAGGCGGATACACTGTCCTACCACAGCGAGAGGCTCGCCATTGCCTTTGCTCTGATCGCTTCCAATCCAGGAGCTCCCATTAGGATCATCAAGAATCTCCGGGTGTGTGCCGATTGCCATGAGAGCGCAAAGCTTGTATCTCGGGTGTATGGTAGAGAGATTGTCATGAGGGACCGTACCCGGTTCCATCACTTCAGAGACGGGGTGTGTTCTTGTGGAGATTTCTGGTAAATACTCGTTGTGTTGTATTGTACATTATACAGTGTAATGTGCTGTAGATTTCTCTCATAATTCTGTGGTAATGGGATGTGCTGTACTGGTCTCACACATTTGCTCGAGATCACAGGCTGTGTTTAGTTCCACGCTAAAATTGAAAGTTTGAAGAAATTAGAACGATGTGACAGAAAAGTTGGAAGTTTGAAGAAAAAAGTTGGAATCTAAATAGGGCCACAGTTCATTCGGTTGTAGTTTGCATGGTTCAATATCAGTTTTTTTTTACAATCATTTTATTGATGACGGATCAAGTGTTACATGGCAAGTGGTCAAAGAACTGAAATGAAATTCCGAAACTTGGCCGTCGTAGTTCAATATCAGTTGTCAGAATTCAAACAGTTGTAGTTTGTTATAACTTGCGCAATTCGTGCATATGTGGCTAGATAGTTCATATGAAAAAGAATTATTTCGGGGCATATGTGGTCTATTCTTTCTCTAGATAGTTCGTATGAAAAGGAAGGAAAAAGTATAAATTACCCCTCCTCCCCCCCCCCCCCCGAACTATGACGGTCGTCCGAATTACCCCCCGAACCACAAAACCGGACATTCTTCACCATCAACTATGCAAACGGGGCGAATTACCCCCCTCGACCCAATCCGCGGTGGTTTTAGTCTCGTGGCGTACGCGTGGCAGTCCAGTCAGCATTTTATTTATTAAAAAAATATGGGACCCACCTGTCATACTCCTATTACACTATTCCTTTCTCTCTCTTCTCTCACTCTCAACATCTCTCTCTCACTCTTCCCCTCTCTCTCTCCTCTCACTGTGAACTATGCAAGCGGCGGGCGGAGGAGGCGAGGCGAGGCGAGGCGTGGCGGCGGCGGCGGCCAGGTGAGCGCGGCGGCGGGCGGACGCAGAGCTAGTGGCCGTGCCACCGGCGGTGATGGGTGGACGCGGAGGCGGACTAGGCGGCCGGCGGCGGAGGCGAGGCGCCCGGGCGGCTGGTGGCGGAGGCGGCGGACCTGGCGGCCGGTGGCGGAGGAGAAGGCGGACCTGGCGGCCGGCGGCGGAGGCGCCCTAGCGGAGCTCGCTCGAACGGTCGATGACGGAGGCGGAGGCGGAGGCGGAGCATGCGTCCGATGGCGAAAGAGAAGGGGGAGCGAGCGGCCGCCATCCCGCCGTCCCAAGCTCCGTCCGCGGGGAGGAGGCGAGCGCGGTCGGCGTGGGCGGTTGGCGAGGTGAGGACGGTAGCGCGCGGGGGGCGAAGGACGGCGGCGGCTGGCGACGGAGGCGGAGGCAGACCGGGCGCGCGGTGGGCGGCGGGCTCCTCCTCCACGTCGTGGGCGCGCGGTGGGCGGCAGCGCGCGGGAACGCGCGGTGGGCCGCCGCCGCCACCGCGGGCTCCTCCTCTTCGTCGTCGGCGCGCGGTGGGCTCACTGCCGACCGGAGTCGCGCCCGCCGCCGCTCGCCCCGCCGCTCGTCTTCAACCTCCTCCTTGCCCATAGGTGGGAGCTGGCCCCGTCCAATCTCCCTCTCATCCCACCCCCAATGGCGACGCCGCCGCACCATCTCCTCCAACTCCGACCATCCACTCCCTCCCGGCCCTTCTCCACCTCCGCCTCGCCTACAGCAGTGGCAACCGACTGTAGAGAGTGTGCGTCGACCGCCCGCCCCCCGCCCCCGCAGGCCCGCCGTCGTGCGCGCCGACCGCCCGTCCCCTGTCCCCGCTGGCCCACCGTCGCGGGCCGCCGCGAGGGATTGCGGCCGACCGCCTGCCCTCGCACGCACGCCGCCGTGTGCCGCCCGCCGCTCCACTTGTGCCCGTGCGTCGTGACGATGATGATGAGAGAGAGAGGGGAAGATGGGAAGATGAGGTCTTACAGGTGGGCCCCACCATTTTAAAAAAAGAAAATGCTGATTGGATTTCAACCTCAGCGCCACGTGTATGCCACGAAAGATTCATACCGCTTCAGATTGAGTGAGGGGGGTAATTTGTCCGGTTTTAATAGTTTGAGGTTTAATATGTCTGGTTTTGTGGTTTGAGGAGGTAATTCGGACGATCGCGATAGTTTACAGGTAATTCGTACCTTTTCCGAGATTGAATGATTTTGTCAAATAAACGTGAACTGGTTAAATAGGCGAGCACAGTCAGCTAAGACAGCAAGTCTGGGTGGTGTAGTTGGTTATCACGTTAGTCTCACACACTAAAGGTCCCCAGTTCGAACCTGGGCTCAGACACAAACATGTTTTTTCCATTTTTTTTCAACAATATGAATATTTTTCTTAATAACAACAGCATAATTACATGCAAAAAATATTTCTCCATAACAATAACCATTTTTTTCAACAATTTGAATATTTTTCTTAATAACAACAACATAATTACATGCAAAAAATATTTTTTTCCATTTTTTTCAACAATTTGAATATTTTTCTTAATAACAACAGCATAATTACATGCAAAAAATATTTCTCCGTAACAATTACCATTTTTTTTTCAACAATTTGAATATTTTTCTTAATAAAAACAGCATAATTACATGCAAAAAATATTTCTCCATAACAATAACATAAAAACTTGATAACCACATGCACATGATTTTTTTTTTCAAAAATTCGAATATTTCTCAATAACAACAGCATAATTACATGCAAAAAATATTTCTCCATAACAATAACATAAACACTTGATAACCACATGCACATGATTTTTTTTTTCAAAAATTCGAATATTTCTCAATAACAACATCATACTTACATGCAAAAAATATTTCTCCATAACAATAACATAAACACATGCACATGCACATGCACATGCACATGATCTTTCTTTTATTTTAAAAAATTCAAATATTTCTCAATAACAACAGCATAACCACATGCACATGATCTTTTTTTTTAAAAAAAATAACCCTCCATATCATCGAGCAACTTTAACAGCATAACCTTTTCTTTTTCAAATATTTCCTCCATACCAACAGCATAACCACATCCACATGATATATTTTTTTTCAAAAAAAAAATCTTCATATCATCAAGCAGCAGTATAAGCTGCAAAACCATATGCACATGAAGTCAAATATTTCCTATACGACCTATATAGCATCTTAGCAGCACAACCATTTGCAGTAATGCAGATGATCTCATTCAGAGAGTTAACAGGGTTTAGTGCTACAGCTTCACATCCATATGATCTCATCCACTAAGTTAACAGAGCTTTAATTCTACCACAGCAACTAGCAAAAGATATAGTAATTGCATTGGTGGCTACAGGCCTACGACATCGGCAATGTACAGCACAAAATGTGAGGGTCTCATCTCATGCCACACAAAGCAGCAGTCCTTGCTACATTTCCACTAACCCACCACCACAAATACAGAGAGCCCCTTTATCACTTTATGCTACCATTCATAGAGTAGCTTAATATCCTGCAAATGTAGGATGGAAGCATTAGGCAGTCACAAGAGAAATAGAGTTGCCATAGTTTCAGATCTAATTGTTCAGTTTGTCAATATCGTATACATTCTTGAATAAATATATGGCATGCTAAGCTTAAGTTGAAAATATATGCTTATGTACCAAAGCATGAAAATCACCACGTAGGTGCCTCAGGCGACTGTAACCACATAAAGTTGTTTTGAGAGTTCTTGACTTACATGAATGGAGTGATGAATCAGCTACTTCTAAAAGAGATTATTCAGTTGCATAAATAGGTTGGAAGAATGCATTTCCCATGAAGAAGCAGTTTTTGTTTTAAAAATTATAAATTGGAACGATTGTTAAACAAGTTTTACCTGCTTTAGTACACCAGCCTCCATATCTTTTATCAGAACAAACCTCGACAATGCTTAGAGCCACAGAGGCATGATTTGAGTTTGCAAGCTTTGAAGGGTTTTCCCTCAAAGCCAGGGGGAGCACCTCTTGTACCATAATCATAAGTCAGTTCAGTCATGGGAGGGATATGTTCCATTGCAAAAAACATGATATGGGGGTAGCTGTCATCGCCATGGTCATACTGTACAGCTTGCCAAAGGAGATTAGGAGAACAGCTATGGTTCAGAAAACGAGCCACATTCCCTTCATTGTTTGCTCTTATGATGATTGGTAGCTTCTTAAAGTTCTTGGTTGTCACAGCCGTACTTTTTTCTTCAAGTAATTCTGCTCCCAAATTCCAGCTTAAAGCCTTATCGCCGGGACATGAAGCGCAAAAGGTATATTTGTCTTCCTCAACATCTATGTCCATCTTAGTTTCATCAATGACTTCACCGGCGTACTCACAAATGAATGTGCCAGCACGGATAGGATCCCAAGACCGCAGGCCCCAGCCACGGTCTCCAGTCCAGAATACCTCAAAGTTCAGTTTTATACCCTTCTGTGTGATCCTGTTTCGACAATTATGAGAACACTGACAGTTAGAGGAGCACTCATAAACCATTGGAGTGTGCTTTGCCAGCAATCCCGTTGCGCTGTAAGGAAGATCACCACCATTCTGTTGCGCACACGAACAATTAGGGTCACCAGGCAAGCAAACACTAGGACATTTGCAACATTGTAATGGTTTTGTCTTCCTAAGAGGTCTCAAATACTTCACTCCAGCAACATAATTGAAGTGACTTGGCCCTTTTTCATCATCAACATCATTAACAAGGCACACAGGTAGGTGTTCAACCTTTGATGATAAATCCAACAATATAGCCTTTTCTCTTGTGGCAGGATTTGCTTTCCACTTCTCAGTCATCTTCCAAAGTGAAATTCCATCAGGCTGTCCTGGGTCCCTTCTCAGCTTGTACTTGAAAACATTAAATCCGTTCTTTGCCGTGTCTGTCCAAGTGTCTTCGATACGATAAAGCCCATCATAAATATATATTTTGCCTGAGTTACAAAAGGGGTCTTGTGCGCTGCGCACAACCCTGATCTGATTCTTCTTGATCTTGCTGTTCATGAGAGCAAGGTTACCTCTCTCAAGCTTCTGATCATGCTTCTCCTTGTGACGACTATTGCCTCCCTGTCCTGTGTAGACCAAAATGTCAGTGTCATCATCGTCATTCTCATAGCCTCCAGATGAAATGATGCAGACAGCCAGAGTCTCATCTTTGTTCTTAGAAGAGATGTAATCAATGCCACCCATGGCTGGTGCATGCAAACCAATGATGCACATTTCAATCCTAAAGAAGAAGATATCGCCGACTTCAACACCAGGCACATGCCCTATCATCTTATGATTGTTGATTCTGAGGTTGTTCTGCATCATGAGGGTGCCAGCTTTCAGGTCAGCCCGCCTGCTTGCATCCTCCTTTTCATCCAACTGCAGTACACGGCGCCGAAGGGAATCAAACATCATCAGGATTCCTTCCACCGATTCCTTTGGGTTGTCTGATGAGGATGAACACAAGTTGAACTCGTTGTCCAGGCTCCTCCTTATTGATCTGCGCTTGATGTTGGCATCATTAGATTTCTCAGCTTGCTGGGGCCTCTTGGCTCTCTTTGGCAGCGTTGGTTTTTTCTGCCTGCAAAAGGGCTTGTAATCTTGATCTGATGATTCATCTTCATGTTGCGGTGTTGGAAATGCCGCTGAGATTGGTGTAGCTTTTATAGGAACTGGTGACTTTGGTAAGGGCAGAGAAAATGAAGCTGGGGCTTCTTGAGGCTGTTGTGATGAATGGTGTGGCATAAACTAACAATGGATTGGTTGATTGAGTTTCCACATCATATCCCAAAATAGTAGGAAACTTTGGCGCTAATGAGCGCAATGGCTCCAATTCCAAGGGTAGTTTGCCATTCTCTGCTTCATCTTCAGAGTTCTCCATGGTGAACTCTTGGAGAAATTCTGGCAGCAGCAAAAGCAGAAGTCAATAAATAGTCTGAGCATGATACTTGTATGTATCAGCAGATGAATGATGTCTCAGAACTTGATATGTTAAGAATAAGTACGCGAGATAAATATAAAGAAAACATCGTTCAGTGCAAATACAACGTAGAGCAAAGAAATTGAATAAAAAGAAAATAGATCTGCAAAATCAGAAAGCTGCATCAACTTCTGAACAATCAGAAACAGAACAATCTGCATATTTTGGCCATTGATCGGTCGGCTGAGCACTGATGGCTCACTTAAAGATAAAAATGTGTCAATGCGAAGTCTCTGTGGCATATGAATCATGGATGTTCTGTCCGGAATCTATTTGGCTCACATAAGCATTAACATTTCAAAGTTCTACTTGTTCCCCCCTTACAAATTAACCAAAACAAATGCAGGCACTAGAATGACGAAGATGGAAACAAAATGCATTGCAACTTCCAGGCGCTCATCTGGGGAACCCAAATACAGTGCGTCCATTTGTTCAACAAACCCATAGTTAAACTCCAGGCAACCATTTGCAGTACACACAGACAATAACACTAACAATCACACGAACTTGCTACAATCAAAAAGATGATCAGGAACTAGGACTTGCAGAAAATTAGTTAGAATTCTAGGAAAAAAAAACAATGGAGAGAAAGCTGATCAAGAAGCATCAGATGAGGAGTGGTGTACCTTGAGGATGTCGCCTTGCTGGGGAGTGTGAAGGGGCACAGGACAGCAGTTCCACTATCGGAGACCCCTAGACCAAACCGTCAAATGTATACATGTATGTGGACACAGGCAATCGTGTCAGTGTGGCACTAAGCACTAGCTTTACACCATCTACCGTCGGATAATCTCGAGATGCGCGCCTCTGGAATTGGCTGGAATATACTGAGTGAGATACTTAATGGTGATTACTTAAACATAAATTTAGAACAGCGGTGTACTTCATCTACTGTAAAAAAAAAAGGAACAGCGGTGTAGTTACAGTCATTCATGGCAGGACACTGGAAGTGTTCAATTTCTGATAAACTCATTTCACTTTCATTATCTAAAAAAGCACCACCTTATTTTCTCCAAGGACACAGACACTTCATTAACACATTTGCTGCTCCAGCCTATGAGCTTGTCTCTGATTCTTTTCAGGTCAAAAGTAGTCAAAGTACAGTAGCGTTTTTAATCTCCTTGCAAGAGCAAAACTTGCAATCTTTTCACTGAACGTATAGCAGGAAAAACACCAAAACTGACAAAATGTAGCAAAAAGCAAGTGATGCCCCTTAGGTATAGTTTCTAGCATCAACTATAGTAGATTCTACATTCTCGACGCAGGAAAGACCTATGCGAATTTTCACCTAGGGCTGCTAACTCGTTGCATGGTGAGCATCTTCAGTTCGAGAAAGCGTTTTGCGCAGTTGGACAGACACGAGGCTTCGCTGTTGCTGAAGCTGCTTCCAATGCTCCCAGTGATGCATTTGTCCCAGCAAACATCAGTCAGCTTCGCCACGAACTCGTTTGCCATTGCCTTCCTCTTCTCCTCCTGAAGAGGGAAAGAAAAACAAAAATGTCAGTAACATTTCTGTGAGTAACAAGCACCGCGGTTCTGCAATTGAATAGGGGATCTTGAAAATGAACACATGGCTTAATTATCCATTGTCCAAAGAACAGAGTACACAAAATAATTTCTTGTGCATAAAGGGAAGCAAGCAACTTCTGCCATTCTCATTACATATCAGAAACCCAGGACAAAAAGGTCCTAGCAGCATACTAGATGTAAAAAGGCAATTCCCTTTTTTCCTTAAGTCGTTTAATTTGCAGACTGATGACCTTTCTATGTTAGTATTTCCTTTCACATAAGAGTATATCGGTATGTCACCGGGAAAACATCTTTGGTTCCTTGCAACGTGTCAGAATACCCAGCACTATCATTTTCTAACATAACAAAGCTGGTAGCAAATCAAATTTAATAAAACACCTCACTGCGCTATATGCATTAGCGGCTAGCACACTTGGGATTTGGGACTACTGCAATTTAAGAAACTACTGCATGAAAATAAATAATTTGTTGGATATCATGAGAGAGAATTGTAACTTCTATTAGTAATGAGTGAACAGCCATAATCCTTAAATACAGAGCACCACAAAAGCAATTGGGAATGACAGAATATCACCTCAGTTGAAGCGTTAGAAACTTTTCAAGCTATGGCTATTTTTTAGGAAAGACTTCATGAACCACCAGGACCATTCTGATGGTGCCTAAAACTAGACTCTATCCAAATTAGTTTGGTTCACAGTCAGGGTTACTGGGTACTTGGGTGATAGTCACAACCACAAGGAGCCCCAAGAACATACCCTAGTTCTCCGCAAGGAATTGATCAAAAGCCACAACCACAAGCTGGATTAACTCCAGTTATGCTATGGATTTGGGACCCTATCAACAACAGAACCGGCTATGAGATTTGAGGCCAAACAATCCTTGGATATAAGATACCGCAATTGCTCTGAGCACTTGATATACTTTAAAATAAAATTGCTATGATACTAGATACCTAAGTAACACAACTAGGATTCGAATACCGATCTCCACCTGAACTGCAACTCCCAGGACATCTGTTAAACCCCAAAATTAGGGCACAACCTTACTCTTAGCTAGAAAAACCAGTCGTGATGCCTAGGAATTCCTGCAGACTGAAGAATATTGCTAAAACAACTGAACAAAATAAATAAAATGCATACATAATAAGCTAATGGTTGGAAGGAACAGGGCAAAAACTTGGCACAAATCAGCAAAATTTCGCCCAAAGCTCAGCCTTTTTCACGAATCTTCGAGTAGATCTAAAAAGGACAAAAAATTAATCGCGAGCGTAGCAACAAACAGATGGGCTGATGGGATCAAAAGAAGGGGGCTGCTAATTAATCTCCGTGTTAGGGTTCCATAGGTCGGGTACTCGAGTGTGCGGCTCATCTCTAAATCTCCCTAATACATTATGGGTTTATTATTACCTCTAGCATGGCCTGCAGCCGCGGGTTGCTGAGCGCTGAAGCATCCATGGCTCCTCTCCTCCTTCTCTTCCGCTCTTCTTCTTCTTCTTCTCTCTCCTCTGCGATTTTCTCTCTCCTTCTCTCTCTCTAGTGGTGGTAGACTTGTGCTTGCCTCGTCGGCGGCTTGCAGAGGAGGAAGAAAGGAGAGAAGAGGCCGTGGGCTCTTTTCGTTAATGGGCTATGGGCTTTTTTAGAAATCAGATCGATAAAAATGGGCTATGGACTTTTTTTTACATTCTGGCCCAATACCGTTTGCGAAAGCGGCCCTCAACCGCATCCAATTGCCTTTCCCCGTGTCACTGTCAACCGGAGCCAACCTAAGCAAAGTGAAGAGATTAAAGATTTTTATTAGGGAATAATACCAGAAATTAAAGATCTATAGAAGAGTGAGAAATCAAGAGTAGAGTAGTGGAACTGGAATGAACACTTGTGCATTATATTCTCCAGGACAGATGTGACGATTACTGTCGCATATATATCTTGCAAGCAATGCAACTTCTTCTTCAATTCGTGGATATCAATCATATCTCGAGTGCAAACGGACACGCAAGAGAGCATCAGATATATATATATATATATATATATATATATATATATATATATATATATATATCGAGAAATCATAAATGAGCTGCTAGTATTATTATATATGCAACATTCAAACTCAAGCTAGATATATCTGTCGATCGATCCATGGATGAATCAATATGTTTGTGTTGCAGTGCACGCATGCGCATGCATTTCAGTGATTTCTGTCGATCAGAATCAGATCAGATCAGCGGTAAATGAGTCACATCGCTATCGCGCATGTATGATCGATCGATGTTCCTTCACGTTTAGACCCAAGCAAGGCAACGCCATTATATTCCATCAATCATTACGCATGAACGTTATTTTCATGCATGCCCGGTCAATATAGTTCCTCAATTTGACGGCACATAATCTGGGAAATTTGTTTCACTTGCTGTCCTGCATGGCTACATCTTACTAGGTTCTTAACTAATCACCACTTTTCTTTAATCAATTTCATTCTAGCCATGAATGATCAGAATTGCAACGTTGTCGATGAGGGACTACCTACGAAGTGGATGACTAATTAGAGGTCCTAATTTTTTTCATATCTTAATTTATGCCAATTTGTTTTAATATGTTTAAAGATCTTTCACTCTCTTTTTTTCTTTTTTGAAAAAAAAGTACTCTTACTTTTTTTATTAATGACTAGAATGAGTTTGTTTCTTCAGCTTTGGTAAGTAGTACTACTAATTATGGCCACCTTAAAGAGGCGATAACGATACGAACATATGTTTCAGGCATTACAAATTCCATTTTTCCACATAACAAAAAAAAATAAATCACTACATCACACCACAATTCTTTTTCTAAAATCTATTTCTTTTAAAAAAAAATTCTTCCGACTTAGTTAGAGTACCACCATCAATTTATTCTTTTGTTTCTTGGCATTTTTCTAAATATCAATTTATGATTCGTATCGGGGACTCAGATTATTAGGTACGGCCCCACGGAATTGTAAAACAAAACACACTACTCCTCTGTTTCATATTACTCATCATTCTAGCACTTTTTTTTAAAAGACAAAACATGAAGGTATGGTAAATTACTGAACTATCCTATTAATAACAGCAATATTTGTACTTCATATTGGAGTTAAATGGGTATTTTATACAAGCACAATAGTTGAGGGGGTACAATGAACTTAATAAAATGTCTAAATATAACAGTGTTGTACCTTTTTTTTCCTTCTTTCTGTATGCAAGAACATGCGCTGTTACCTAGTACTATGTAGAATGAACATGACAATCTTCACTGCCACACTGCTCACCAAATCCTAGGAGAGAGCTACTTGTAATTTTAGTCTTGTTGAAATGATCAATTGATTAGAGGCTATGTGCATTATCTCATACTTTGGTAGTACTAATACAAACTTTGTTTTTGCGAGGAAGTACTAATACAAACTTTGACGGAGGCGCAACTGCCTCATCCCTTGTGATAGCAAGGAACCATGAAGAACCGATCCTCTTTTGTATTGGTGTGCTCTGTGTATGATTTCGTATGTGATCGATAGCTGAAATCGCTCCCTACCGTTTCCATTGATAACTCTAGTCGTTAACGTTATTGCCAAAAACCGATGAAAGTCAGATAAATTTGGTTAGAAAGTTTCATTTTTTTAATCTTTGGCCAATTATGGTTAAATACAGCCAGCTCAATAGGAACCATGACATATATCGTATTTGAATCCAGGCTCTGCTCTGTTGAGATATTTTTGTTTTCTTTTGGACACCAATCATGTACTCTCTACATCCCCATTTTAAGTGCAGCCATAGTTTTCCGCGTCCAACTTTGACGATTCGTCTTATTTGAAAATTTTTAAAAGAATTTTAAAAATATAAGTCACGAGTAAAATACTATTTATATTTTATCATCTCATAATAACCAAAACACTAATTATAAATTTTTTTTAAATAAAACAGATGATCAAAGTTAGGCGCGGTAATGGATGGTTGCACTTAAATGAAAAAGAGAGGGAGTAGATTAGATAGAGTCAGGCAGTGTGGGCCACGGAGATGTCTGAGAGCCATAGACAGATGATCCATTTCATTCGATAATTAAATACAGTACTGTAGCTAGGGATAATCAATCCCTCGTGTCTGTCGGTGGGCCCCGCGCACCCAACCGCCGCGCCGAACCCCGCCGCAGCAAGCAACTGCTACCCGTGCCGCCGCCCGTCTCCGGCGTCCGATCACCATCAGGCGGCCGCGCGACCTCCTCTGCTTGCGTTGCGTGCCTCCCCACGAGGTCGAGGTACACTTCCCTTCAAAG